GGCTCCATTTAATCCTAGTAAGACCTCACAACCTCTGAGGATGCTTGCCATAAATGCAGGCAAAACGTCAGGAGAGAATGCTTCTAGAACATGGCCATATAGCCCGAAAAACCTACAACAACCCAGTGATTCCAGCCATGAAAGCCTTCGACAATACAGACCCAAGGAGAGCTTGAAAGAGATTGTGCTCTTTCTCCTCACCCTTTCCTCCCACTTGAATGTCAATTTCAGTGAAGGACAGGCTTCCATCAACACCTCCATTATTCAGATGTCTTTCCCAATAGCGTTTCCCCTCATGAGCACAAAGGTGGGAAAGTGTCTTGTTTTTCTGCTGCCTGGCAGTAGCCAAGTCTGTTTCCGAGAATTTATCCGCTTTCGTGCAGCAATGTCAAACACTGCTGATGTTGCGGGTCCTTCAAGCGTGGGCCAGGTCTGGCCAATGACCTCCCTCACTTCGAAGTGAGAGATCGTTCATGCTACAAAGACAGGCCTGAAGCACAGAAGGGTCTGTTTTCATGGAAGGGAATGAAAAGACATGAAACAACGCCTTGGCAAGAGATGGGTGTTGCTAAGTGGGAGACTGGAAAGTAAGATTGTGGAAGCACTTAAGTAATTTTATTACTCCAGCTAGTGAAGGAGAATAATTATTCTTGGGCTGTTGTAGGTTTTTTGGGCTGTATGGCCATTTCTAGAAGCATTCTCTCCTGACGTTTCACCTGCAACTATGGCAAGCATCCTCAGAGGTTTTGAGGTCTGTTGGAAACAAGGAAAATTAGGTTTCTATATCTGTGGAAAGTCCAGGGTGGGAGAAAGACTCTAACAGGGCAAAACTGACTCTCGTTTCTGACTCTCACAGGGCAAAACTTGTTGCTTGTTGTATTGTCGAAGGCTTTCATGGCTGGAATCACTAGGTTCTTGTGGGTTTTTTCGGGCTATAGAGCCATGTTCTAGAGGCATTTCTCCTGACGTTTCGCCTGCATCTATGGCAAGCATCCTCAGAGGTTGAGCAGGTCTGTTGGAAGTAGGAAGTCAGCCATAGCAGAGAACCTGATGAACCGACCTGGACACAGCATATTATTTGAGAACACAGAAATGCTGGACCACACCAACAACCACCATGTCAGACTACACAGAGAAGCCATTGAAATCCACAAGCATGTGGACAATTTCAACAGAAAGGAAGAGACCATGAAAATGAACAAAATCTGGCTACCAGTATTAAAAAACTCTAAAATTATAACAGCTAAACAACAGAGAGGAAAAAACCAGGCACAGATTAACACCTCCCAGCAGCAGATTTTCCCAGACTCAGGCAGGCCTTCAAATGCTAATGAAGGTGATCAGCTAAACATTCACACCTAACTGCAGCAGGGAAGAGCTCCTTGCCCCACCCCATTCCACAGATATATAAACCCATTTTTCCTACTTCCAACAGACCTTCTCAACCTCTGAGGATGCTTGCCATAGATGCAGGCGAAACGTCAGGAGAAATGCCTCTAGAACATGGCTCTATAGCCCGAAAAAACCCACAAGAACCTTGTTGCTTGTGTTTTCCTCCAAGAACATGACTTTGCCCAGCGTCAATCAATGGATCAATCAATAGATAAGCAGGGATTTGAACCTGGTCTCTACAGTCTAAACCCAACTCCCAAATCACAACATCACACTGGCTATAGCAAGCATTGACTGGTCATGTTTTCCAACATTTATTACTTTCCAGATATTCTGGACCGCAGTTCCCATTTGTTGCACTCTGCACATGGCCATGATTTCTGAGAATAGTTGTCCAAAATATCCAGAGGGCACCAGACTAGGGAAGGCTACCACAGAGAGCTGGCTTAGACACAAAGGATTCTCAGCCAAGAGCTCTTGGGTCTCACTAAACTACAAACCCCAGAATTTCACAAGTTGTTGCTCTAGTAGTTACAATACCAGTGCTATAGCCATGCCTTATACTTGCATGCCTTCCAACATCTCACAGATGAAAACTGGATCATAGATAGGTGGCCAAGCACCATCGGATGGTCAATATGAGAAAGGTACAAGGGTTATCCAAAAAGTAAGGTTACAATATTTTTTTAAAAAAAAATACAAAGAATGAATATATTTTAATAAAACTTACATGGATTAAAACACAAGTATATTATTTTTCCATGTAAACACCATTCAACAAATTTTGTCATCTGTAAGATGAGTTTTTGATGCTTGCGTCATAGAAGTCTCCCACTGGCCTTTTTCAGCCAGTTCGTCACTTCCATTTTCATCTCGTCATCGTTTTCCACTCAGGTGTTTCTTCAATTTAGTAAACAGATGATAGTCACTGATACGAGATCAGGGCTGTGAGAGGGGAGGCTTAAAACATCCCAACCAAATGAAGTCAACAACTCTTGTTTTGCATGAGCCGTGTGCGGACACACATTGTCATGAAGGAGACAGACTCCCGCCATTAGCATCCCATGATGTTTGTTTTGGATGTTTGTTTTGGATGACTCTGCAAAGTTTCTTAGTGGTCTCACAGTACCTTGAAGCGTTGATTGTTGCACCTCTTTCCAAAAAAACAACAAGCAGAGCCCCTTTTCTGTCCCAAACTGACACCATGATTTTTCTCATGATGAATCTCAGTGGTGTTCATGCCCTTTGCATGTAGGTAGTGTATTACAGTGCAAACTTCACAATTGGCGGGAAATGGAATGAGGACAGTGGGTTGTTGTAGGTTTTTTTGGGATATATGGCCATGTTCTAGACGCATTTCTCCTGATGTTTCGCTTGCATCTATGGCAAGCATCCTCAGAGGTAGTGAGGTCTGTTGGAACTAGGAAAAAGGTGTTTATATATCTGTGGAATGACCAGGGTGAGACAAAGGACTCTTGTCTGCTGGAGCTAGGTGTGAATGTTTCAACTGACCACCTTGATTAGCATTTGATTGCCTGGCAGTGCCTGGAGCAATCTTTTGTTGAGAGGTGATTAGATGTCCTTGTTTGTTTCCTCTCTGTTGTTGTGCTGTTCTAATTTTTTTTTTTAATACTGGTAGCCAGATTTTGTTCATTTTCATGGTTTCCTCCTTTCTGTTGAAATTGTCCACATGCTTGTGGATTTCAATGGCTTCTCTGTGTATCTGACATGGTAGTTGTTGGAGTGGTCCAGCATTTCTGTGTTCTCAAATAATATGTTGTGTCCAGGTTAGTTCATCAGGTGCTCTGCTATGGCTGACTTCTCTGGTTGAAGTAGTCTGCAGTGCCTTTCATGTTCCTAATCTCTAACCTTCACCACAATGCCAGTGGAAGAGCTACTGACGACTGGCACTGCTCGTTCGCTTACATTGACTGACCACTACACGGTTGTGATACCAACTTCCCCCGAGAAAATTCCCCATGAGAGCTACGTGCCTTGTGACCTTATTTTCCGGATAACCCTCATATTTAATGAGGAAGAACAAGTAAGCAAGCAAGGGCTGCAGCAGTCTACTTTTGTCTGCACCTGCTGGGAAGAACAAGGCTCTCTCCTTCCCTCCTCTCCCCATGCTGTGTGAATTGAGCCTGAATTTAGTTTGCAGCAACTAAAAAAAGCTGAGAACAAAGGGAGGATCAGGAGGAGGACAGAGAAATGTGACTTTAAAAGCAACTGAAAAAATGGGACAGCAGAGAATTAATCGGAGGTATGCTAATGCTGACATTTCCACACACTTACAAATGCAGATATTATGGATTAAAGACCAGATAAAATCTGGAATATGTTCTTTTTCAACTACATTTTACGGTAGAAAGTTATAAATGATCTGAGGCTCATTTTGAATGGCACATTAATTTTTCAACCACTTCAGGGAAAAACAGATCTGCTTCATCAGTTTCCAAATAGCATAGTTTTATTAAAAGGCTTAAACCCCCTTCTATTGTACACAAAATATACAAAATTGTAACCGTTTCTGCGAAGTGTTTACAAAAGAGCCAATGCTTTCTCTAGATCTATATTACACCCCGTCCGCATTTGACACAACAACAAAAAAAGGTTTCCTCTGACTCATAACAACAATACATTTAAATATTGTTCAAAAAAGGATGAGGAAGGCATTCAGATTTCAGCAACACACATCATTTGTAATCCCAGATGCTGGAAGAAAATAATGACTAACCCAAAAAATGGCAAGACGCCCTGGATACTTGTCAGTATTTCGAGTGCTTGAGATTGTAATTTCTAAAATACGTACGAAGAAACCACACTTAAAACATGGGAAAGGAGGGGAAAGGGGCTGGAAGTATTTTGGCAAGATAGCGATCTGCCTTTGAACTGCAATATGCTGAACCCATAAGATAATAGTCCTGTTTCTGGAGTCCTGAAGGCACCATCTGTTCTGCATTTGCCATGGCATCCCTTTTTTTTCGCACACAATCCTTGAAAGGGGAATTGCTTCATTGCACCAATACTACTGCGGAAATCTTGAGAATGTAGCACCATTACAAAATAGGTATCATCTCTCTATACTAGATTCTTCTTTTGCTCTGAACGGAGAAGTTTCAGATGCCAAATGGATCCCGTGCAAGGATTGGGATCAAGGCAACAAGAATGGGTCAATTCTATGTCAAACAAGGAACTAGAGTTCAAAATATCCCATTGGGTCTAAAGAAGGGGGTTGGGTCCCCAGGAGGGGTAGCGACAGGGATGTCTGTGGGGTCGACAAAGACCATTACAAAACACAGTATTTTCTGTTATAGGGATTATGTGTCTGAAGTTTGGCCCAATTCCATCATTGGTGAGGTTAAGAATGCTCTTTGATTGTAGGTGGACTATAAATCCCAGCAACTACAACACCCAAATGTCAAAGTCTATTGTCCCCCAAACACCACCAGGTGTTTGGACATATTGAATATTTAGAGACTGTTGTTTTGTGCCATATAGTTCCTGTCTGTTGCTTGCTGTGAATGGACGTGTGTAGATGTACTTAGTAAACTTAGTTTTCTGTTGTAACTAAAAGCTTGCAGAGTCCTGATTTCTGAACGCATGGACATCATAAAATAGAAATAGAAATTCCCATCTTCCACTCCAGAGCCACACTATGATCTTTAAAAGTGATCCAATAAGATAAATATAAATATACAGGTAAGAGTGCACTCCTAACGGAAACCTCCCTCCGGCATCCAGTTGTGGCCATTATCCGACCTTCCAGATGGCTATCTTCCCTTCCTCTTTTCCGGAGCCACTAAGGACGTATCTGTCCTCGGCGGAGCAAAGTGCCTTCACCCCGTCAATGTGTCCCACCAACTCCTTTTCCACCTTCTTCGTTTCGGCGTCGATCACATAGATTTTTCCTTTGATTTTGCCTTGGGAGATCCCTCTGCCGCCAACCCACAGCTGAAAGAAAAAAACTATGCTTTAGACACAGGCATGGCATGGGCAAACTTCGGCCCTCCAGGTCTTTTGGACTGTCAGGCCATTATATGCTAATCAAGGTGGTCAGTTGAAACATTCACACCTAGCTCCAGCAGACAAGAGTCCTGTGTCTCACCCTGGTCATTCCACAGATATATAAACCCTTTTTCCTAGTTCCAACAGACCTCACTACTTCTGAGGATGCTTGCCATAGATGCAGGTGAAACGTCAGGAGAGAATGCCTCTAGACCATGGCCATATAGCCTGAAAAAACCTACAAAAACCCAGTGATTCCGGCCATAAAAGCCTTCGACAATACATTGGGGTGAAACTTACTACAATGGTAGAACACATTTACCACTCTTTGCCTATCATTTTTTATAACGTTTCACTCCTCTATGGATTTTTAAAAACTTTTTAAAAACAAACTTTTTAAAAAAACTACAAGAGTGATTTCTGCCTCCTCCTCCTCCCTCCTCCGTCAGCCCTGATTGGCTGAGAGGCATGCCAGCAGGTTTGGCTTCGCCTCTCAGCAGAGCTTGGTCACAGCTACTTCCAAAGACTTCCAAAGCTTAAGAATTGACTCCTTTTGATTCAAATTCTTAATATTGGATGGTGGGGCAGCAAGCAGGCATTTCGGAACTCTCTTCGAAAATGCTGCACTTCCGAAAAACTTACGACTTCTGAATACATCCGCACCAAATGCACAAATCTAGTGTTACCTGGTTCTTCACTTTCATCATGCAGGTGATCTCCAAACAGTCTTGCAAGGTTATCTTTTGAGAAGGTGCAGAGAGATCAGTCGCGTTCCAGATATACAGCTCGCTGCTGCCTAAACAGGAGGCCCAGATTTGATCCGTCTGAAGAAAAGACGGGAGAGAAAGGAAGTCATTCTCTAATATGTTTTAGATTGAAATTGCCACCGTTCATTTAGAACAGGCATGGGCAAACTTCGGCCCACCCTCCAGGTGTTTTGGACTTCAACTCCCACAATTCCTAACAGCCTACCGGAGTTGAAGTCCAAAACACCTGGCGGGAGGGCCGAAGTTTGCCCATGCCTGATTTAGACTGACTAAATTATTATAAAGTACCTCAAGGAACAACTGGAAGCACAGCAAAGACAAAGGCAGGTCTCTCGCCGTGTCTTCTATTTTTACCTTCTGGCGAAGAATACCAGTCGTTGTGACCACAAGGATACAGCTTCCTATACCTCCAAAGAAACAGATGCACATAAATTAAAGTCAAAGCTGAGGCAACAGTCGATGGCACGCACATATAAATACTTTTTTCTAATTTTAGTATATTAATGCTATTAAAAGTATAGATAAAGGTTTCCCCTGACATTAAGTCTAGCTGTGTCCGGCTCTGGGAGGTATTGCTCATCTCCATTTCTAAGTGTTAGGGATTCCTCATCTTTGGCAAAGGAAGGGGAGCAGGGAAGTGCTCAGGAATTGGAGGCAGAAAAAGAATCAGACAATGAGGTTTTGGAAGTGCCCACATTTCTAGAGGGACGAAAAGAGACAGAGCATAGACGGTGTTCAGATAGAATAGCTGCTAAAAACGCTGAGCTAATTGGGAGATGCCCTAGCATAGTGGATCTCAATCTGGGGTCCCCAGATGTTTTTGGCCTACAACTCCCAGAAATCCCAGCAAGTTTACCAGCTGGGATTTCTGTTATTGTTAACTGCTTTGAGTCGCCCGAGGGCTGAAAAAAGCGGTATATATAAATGAAGTAAATTAGGATTTCTGGGAGCTGAAGGCCAAAAACATCTGGGGACCCCAGGTTGAGAACCACTGCCCTACATGGGGAATTCAGGGCTACAAATCAGTAGCAGGAGCAGTCAGTTTTTGCTAGTAACAACCCTGATACTGATGTTTTCACTCCAGTGGAATCTGTTTTGTGTCTGCTGCTAAAGACTTAGTTCATTGCCCATTGTCTGATGGAAGACTGCTGTTTCTTTTGGGATTTTGTAAGAGACTTTAATTTGTGTCTGGATTAAGACTTTCTTGCTTACTTTTGTACTTTTCAATTGCATTTGCTTATCCTTCGTGTCTGCTGAAGTAAAGCATTTTTCTTTTACTTTCAACATTGTGCAGGGTGAGGCAGCATAACTTCCTTTTTTAAAATGCGTGCCATTCAGTCCGTTGAAGACGTAGCGGAGCGCTAGTGGTCTCGTTCAAGAGGTGGGAGTATAAAGTTTTGTCCGGACACAGTTCAGTCGCCATCATGCGTTGGAACAGTGAGGAGCGTGCTTTTGCCGTTGAGGCCTACTTTTCAAGCGGATTTGGAGTGGCTGGCCCGCTCTTCAGGTTTGGTCCCTTGTGATTTTTTTCTGTGGGGTTTTTTGAAATCCCATGTTTATGTGAACCCTCCAAGGACACTACAAGATTTGAAGACCAACATCCAGGAAGAAATTGCCAACATAACGCCTGCTAAGCTGGCAAGAGTCACGACAAAGGCCAGAAATCGGTTTTCTCAGTGTATGGAGAATGGAGAATGGGGGATGTCACCTACCTAATTTGATCTTCAAAACTATGTCATACAAAACTTTAGGTGTGCGCCTACATTATTAAAAATATATATAAAAAATTCTGATTCATACAGTGGGTTTTATTAAGTTTTGAAAAAAGGAAGTTATGCTGCCTCACCTTGTATTAAGGTTGTTTTTGAAAGGCAACTCAGGACATTAAGCCGAAGAGCCGGCCTTGACCGTAGACACCTCCAAAGTCATGTGGCTGGCATGACTGCAAGGAGCGCTGCTACCTTCCAGCTGGAGCGGTACCTATTGATCTACTCACATTTGCATGTTTTCAAACTGCTACATTGGCAGAAGCAAGGCCTAACAGCGGGAGCTCACCCTGCTCCCCAGATTTGAACCGCCAACCTTTCAGTAAGCAAATTCAGCAGCTTAGCGGTTCTACCCGCTGCGCCACTGGGGGCCCACGAATGGTATTAATAGTTCCAAAACTGTCGAAGGCTTTCATGGCCGGAATCGCTGGGTGGTTGTAGGTTTTTCCGGGCTATATGGCCATGTTCTGGAGGCATTTTCTCCTGACGTTTCGCCTGCATCTATGGCAAGCATCCTCAGAGGTAGTGAGGATGCTTCACTACCTCTGAGGATGCTTGCCATAGATGCAGGCAAAACGTCAGGAGAAAATGCCTCCAGAACATGGCCATATAGCCCGGAAAAACCTACAACAACCCAGTTCCAAAACTATTATTCCTGAAGAAGAGTAAAACAATGCTGAATATTTTGTGGGAACACAGCTCTCAGTTTCAGGACTTCCCTCTGCACATGAAACATGGATTTATTTTTTAAAATGGCAATCAACTCACTCCCTTGCTTTGGTAACTAATCCTTCTTTTGCTCAGGAAGTATCTTTTTCCCATTGTTTTGAAATGTTTAGATTGAACAACCAAATCATCAACTCCACTGAATTTCAGCTGAGATTAACCAGATGTTAATATAGCTTCAGCAAACGGATAGACAGAGAAGGACTGAGAAACTTACAACACCAAAGGCGATTATTGTGGAACCGGATAGCGGTCAGTGTCTCGCAGGCCAGCTGAAATCTGCGATTCACTTTTAAGGTGCTGATATTCCATGCGATCACGGTGCCATCTAAGCTGCAGGAATATGCCTCACTGCCCACATGCAAAGAAAGGGCCAGAAATCAGATATTACAAAAGGGAGGGAGAAAAATCTATACACATTGTTTATGTAGCCCGAAGCAAAATGAAGTCAAAACACAAAGTCAATGTATTTTGTGGCTATAATCCTTTTGGGGACATGATGTTACCAGTCATACAGAAGTGGCAAAGTTGGGGAAACTGAATCTTCTCACTCTGAGTGATCTATTTCTCTATTACTCATGGGAGAAAAGAGAGAAAGAAAGAAGGAAAGAAGGCATAATATAATTTATCTTTCTTTCTTATAATAATAATATACTTTGTTTATATTCCGCTCTATCTCCCCAAGGGGACTCAGAGCGCATTACAGAATATATATATGGCAAAGATTCAATGCCGTTATACAATTGACAAAGACAGACAATACATAGGCAGAGGCAAGGCTTCCCTCTTTTTTATCTCCAGCATCTGGAGGCTGCGCTTGACTTGGCCATGGGGAGGTGCTGTTGTTCCATTTTCCACGCCAAGGAGCCTGTTGTCCATGGACGCCTTCCTCATCAAATTGCTGGCATGTCTTCAGGGGTGCATTTTACCTCTCTGCCAAGGCAGTACCTATTTATCTACTCACATTGCTGTTTTTGAAACACTGGGTAAGCAGAAGCTAGGGCTGACAGAGGAAGCTCACCTCAAGCCACAGCTTTGAACTGCCTACTTTCCATTCTGCAAGATTTTCTGTATCTGGCAGTTTAACTCGCTGTGCTAACCATAGCCCAAAGAAAGAAGAGAAAGGAGGAGGGAGGGAGGGAGGGAAGAGAGGGAAGGAAAGAAGGACAAAGAAGGAAAGAAGGAATTGTGGGAGTTGAAGTCCAAAACACCAGGAGGGACCAAGGTTGTCCAGGCCTGATCTAGATGCTAGGAAGGAAAGAAAGAAAGAAAGGAGGGAGGGAGGGAGGAGGGAGGAGGAAGGAAGGGGAAGGAGGGAGGGAGGGAAGGAAGGAAGGAAGGAAGGAGAGGAAGGGAAGGAGGAAGGAGGAAAAGGAAGGGAAAAAAGGAAGGAAGAGATGGAGGAAAGAAGGAGAAAGGGGAAGGAGGGAGGGAGCGGGAGATGGAGAGATGTAAAGAGTCGGAGAGAGAACCGAAGTGACCGGAAGGTAAAGGAAGGAGTCGCAAGGCAGGAACGTTAAGGACATGGAGGAGGTGGTGGGGAGGTGGAGGTGGAGGTGTTTGATAGTGTGGCGATGGGATGCGTGAGATATATTGATGGTATTTTGACTTTGCTGTAGAGAGTGCATGCAGGAATAGTGAGTGGTATCACAGGAGGGAACGTGAAGGTGATGAAGAAAAAAGGAGAAGGAAAAGAAGAAGAAAGAAGAAGAAGAAAGAGGAAGAAGGAAGGAAGGAAGGAAGAAGTGAAGGAAGGAGGAAGGAGGAAGAGAGGAAGGAAGGAGGAAGGAGGAAGGAAGGAAGGAAGGAAGGAAGGAAGGAAGGAAAGGAGGAAGGAAAGGAAGGAGAGGAGGAAGGAGAGGAGGAAGGAAGGAAAGAGGGAAGGAGAGGGGAAGGAAGGAGAAGGAAGGAGGAGGGAAGGAAGGAAAGGGAGGGAAGAAAGGAAGGAAGGAAGGAAGGAAGGAAGGAAGGAAGGAAGGAAGGAAGGAAGGAAGGAGGGAGGGAGGGAGGGAGGGGAGAGATAAAGGAAAGAAGGAAGGGAGGAATTCAGAAAGTGTGGTATGCTTTGAACCTCAGACTATGGCTACAAATCCACTGGGTAGCTTTAAGTAGGTCACACTTTCTCAGCCTCAGAGGAAAACAAAGGCAAATCCCTTTAAAAAAATCTTGATGAGAAAACTCTGTGATAGGGTCACCCTATGTCTAAAGCAACTTGAGGGGACATATCAAAAATCCTTATTAATCAATAATTATACCTTACTTGTAAAGTTGTGTTTTTTTTAAAGTGAGACGCTAAAAACCTATTTGCAGCCCCAAGAGGCTTACCTATTTAATTTTAATACCCTACTAGTGCCAAATTTTGCAGACCTGACCCAGAGCAACCTTTGGTGAAGGCTATAATAATATATTGAGCAAAATTTGACGTAAACTCTTGCTCAAGGTACAAACGCAGGTAGTCTTCGACAGTAAACAAAGCATATAACCACGCTGCATGTGACTGACCTGGACATGTTGTCTCTGTTCTCCACAATGATATCCACAACTTCAGAACGATGGTCATTCAGCTGCTTATTACAAGACATGCTGTGGGTATTGATTAAGTAGATGATGGAATCTTGAGAACCAATCCACACTTGACTTTGTTCTGCCATGACCATACATTTCTGTGTGTATATGGAAAAAAGATCACAATCAACGAGTGTGATACAGAAAGCCATAGAATCCCAACCTAGCATCTAGATCAAGCCTGGACAACCTTGGGCCCTCCAGGTGTTTTGGACTTCAACTCCCACAATTCCTAACAGCCTACCGGCTGTTAGGAATTGTGGGAGTTGAAGTCCAAAACACCTGGAGGGCCCAAGGTTGTCCAGGCCTGAGTTAACTAATGTTCAGAGAATCGAGAGTTGAACTAAGCTTTATACGCTGCCACATAAAGTAGTAAACCCTCCTTACCAGCTTAGAGCTCCCCACTTTAAAGCAGTGCTGTATGGACCATGTAGACGCATCAAACACAACCACTTTTCCATCGCTTAAAGCACACCATAATTTGGGGTGAGCATCTCCATGCCTTTCTGCTGGATCAAGCTCTCCTAAGTAATGTATTGAAAGGAAAGAGAAAGAAATGCATTATTTATTTATTTATTTATTTATTTCTGACATTTTTATCTCGCCCATTTCAGCCCACAAGCGACTCAGGGCGGCCTACAGACCAGCAACAATTAGATGCCGTATATATAAACATAGATATGTCGGTTAAAACAAATCACATCCTAATACATATAAAACCATAAAAACTATAAAAACTATAAAAGTCTTTAAAAACAGTGTTTTCCAATCCAATTCCTCATCTGTTTACATCATCTTTAGCCATTCTGTATTCATATTCCAGTTGTATTTATTTAATCATGCTGAAGTTCGAAGCGCTGCTCAAAGAGCCATGTTTTCAGTCTTTTTTGAAAAGTCGGGAGGGAGGGAGCCAATCAAATATTCGTGGGCAGGGGGTTCCACAGCCAAAGGGCCACCACTGAGAAGGTCCTGTCTCTCGTCCCCGCTAGACACGCCTGTGAGGCAGGCGGGATCAAGAGCAGGGCCTCCTCAGACGATCTTAAATGTCTAGAAGGTTCATAAGAGGAGATGCATTTGGATAGACAAGCTGGGCCGGAACCATTTAGGGCTTTATAGGCTAAAGCCAGCACTTTGAATTGTGCCCGGTAGCAAACTGGCAGCCAGTGGAGCTGGCGCAACAGAGGAGTTGTGTGATCCCTGAGCACAGCTCCCGTTAGTAACCTGGCTGCTGCACGCTGGACCATTTGGAGCTTCTGAACAGTTTTCAAGGGCAACCCCACATAGTGTGCGTTGCAGTAGTCTATACAGGATGAAACCAGAGCGTGGACTACAGTGGCCAAGTCAGACTTCCCAAGGTATGGACGCAGCTGGCGCACACGCTTTAATTGTGCAAATGGTCACCGCCGAAACCTGGGATTCCAGGCTCAGCGATGAATCCAGGATCACACCCAAGCTGCGAACCTGCACCTTCAGGGAGAGTGTAACCCCATCCAGCACAGGCTGTAACCCTATGCCCTGTTCGGCCTTTTGACTGACCAGGAGTACCTCTGACTTGTCTGGATTCAATTTCAATTTGTTCGCCCTCATCCAAACTATCACAGCGGCCAAGCACCGGTTCAGGACCTGAACAACCTCCTTAGTAGCAGGTGGGAAGGAGTGACAAAGTTGGACATCATCTGTGTACAGATGACACTCCACCCCGAAACTCCAGATGATCTCACTCAACAGCTTCATGTAGATGTTAAACAGCATGGGAGACAGTATTGAGCCCCGTGGGACTCCACAAGATAATGGTTGTGGAGTTGAGCATCTGGGCACGACCCTCTAGGAAGGACAGTGCCCAGTGCAAAACAGTGCAAAACAGTGCCCCCAAAGCCCATTCCCACAAGGCGGTCCAGAAGGATATCCACCACTAAGACATATACTGGCCAAAAAAGTGAATAAACATGGTTTGCAAATCAAGGGGATTGCATTACAAACAGCAGTCGTGTTTTGATATCTCAAAAGTGAGACTACGAGAAATGATATTCCTTGAACATAAAGTCCTTGGGCCACTTCATAATCAACAAATAACAGTTAAGCAGTATCAAGAACTTATTTTACTACTAGCCGTCCCCTGCCACACGTTGCTGTGGCCCACATGGGGGTTCTGTGTGGGAGGTTTGACCCAATTCTATCATTGGTGGGGTTCAGAATGCTCTGTGATTGTAGGTGAACTATAAATCCCAGCAACTACAACTCCCAAATGTCAAGTTTCTATTTTCCCCAAACTCCACCAGTGTTCACATTTGGGCATATTGAGTATTCGTGTAGAGCAGTGGTTCTCAACCTTTCTGATGCCGCGACCCATTAATCCAGTTCTATATGTTGTGCTTACCCCCAACCATGAAATTATTTTTGTTGCTATTTCATAACTGCAATTTTGTTATTGTTAGGAATCATCATGTAAATAACTGATATGTAAGATGTATTTTAATTCAGTGGATGAAATTTGGCACAAATACCCGATACGCCTACATTTGAATACTGGTGGAGTGGCGTGGGGGTACTGATTTTGTCATTTGGGAGTTGTAGTTGGTAGAATTTATAGTTCACCTACAATCAAAGAGCATTCTGAACTCCACCAGGAATGGAATTGAACCAAATTTGGCACACAGAACTCCCATGCCCAACAGAAAATATTGAAGGATTTGGTGGGCATTGACCTTGAGTTTTGGAGTTGTAGTTCACCTACATCCAGAGAGCACTGTGGACTCAAACAATGATGGATCTGGACCAAACGTGGCACAAATACTAAATATGCCCAAATGTGAACACTGGCAAAGTTTGGGGAAAATAGACCTTGATATTTGGGAGTTGTAGTTGCTGAGATTTATAGTTCACCTACAATCAAAGAGTCCCTTGAACCCCACCAACGATAGAATTGGTCCAAACTTCCAACACAGAACCCCCATGACCAACAGAATGTACTGGAGGGATTTGGGATGAATTGACAGTGATTTAGGGGAGATGTAGTTCACCTTCCACCTTTCTGATGGGTCTTTGGCGACCCCTCTGACACCCCCTCGTGACCCCCCCAGGGGTCCCGACCCCCAGGTTGAGAAACGCTGCCTTAGCTGGTCCAGATCACTCATTGTTTGAGTCCACAGTGCATTCTGGATGTAGGTGAACTACAACTGCCAAACTCAAGGTCAATGCACACCAAACCCTTCCAGTATTTTCTGTTAGTCATGGGAGTCCTGCATACCAAGTTTGGTTCAATTCCTTTGTTGGTGGAGGTCAGAATGCTCTTTGATTGTAGGTGAACTATAAATCCCAGCAACTACAACTCCCAAATGACAAAATCATTTTTTTGAGTGAAGGACATACATTGGGTTGTTAGGTGTCTTGTGTCAATTTGGTGTCAATTCGTCCAGTGGTTTTTGAGTTCTGTTAATCCCACAAACGAACATTAAATTTTTATTTATATAGATGGCATTGTTTTACTGTATTATAAAAACAGATTCTTAATTTGAACTATTTTTTTTCCTGGTTGCTTGAGAGTTCCATTTGCTTGAGTTCCGGTTAACTAGGAGTTTGCTGTGCTTCTGTTGTATCCAGAAGCTCACTGGGTGATTGTGAGGACATATCATGCCATCAGCCTTGCCTCCTACACTTGCCACCCTACACTTGACACAACCAGGTGCCCCTGCTTTCATCCTCACCCGCTTTCTGCTCCCTGGTGACTCAATATTTCATACCTGGTGTATAAAGCAAGACTTCCACTGCCTGTGGGAATGTCTCACCAGCTGATGGGTTGATCTTGTGCTTCAGGGTTTCCGCTGTTGTTTTGGGAACCATCATAGGCACTGAAGCAAAGCAGACAAGTAACCACCATGAATAAGAAAGGAAGAGACAGAAATAAAGATCTCCATGTCAAAGAGAGCTCATGGCATCACCATCTTCCTCTTTCACCACTAGTTTAGGAGCTGCAAGGTGAAATATAGAACTGAATTGTATTAGTACTCAAACTAGACTTACTTACTTAGGTGATCCCTCGTTGTCTGAGTAGGATAGTCTTCCAGGATCATTGTACTGGCAGTGGGTCTGTAAGTGGCTGTGGAGCCCTATTCTTGACCTGCATCTTCTCCCACTGTGAGGGCATTGGTTTCCAAGTGGAAGGCGGTCCCTTGACACGCCTTCCTCTTGGCACGTTCCTCTCTTTCACCATCCATTTGTGCCACTTCAAATTCTACAGCATTGCTGGTCACAGCTGACCTTCACTGGAGCACTCAAGAGCCAGGGCTTCCCAGTTCTCAGTGTCTATGCCAGAGATTTTAAGGTTGGCTTTGAGGCTGTCTTTAAATCTCTTTTCCTGCCCACCAATATTCCGTTTTCCGTTCTTGAGTTTGAAGTAGAGCAACTGCTTTGGGAGACGGTGGTCAGGCATCCAGACAACATGGCCGGTCCAGCGAAGTTGATGGCGGAGGACCATCGCTTCAATGCTGGCGGTCTTTGATTCTTCCAGCACGCTGACATTTGTCCACTTGTCTACCTAAGAGATTTGCAGGATTTTCCGGAGGCAGCGCTGATGGAATCGTTCCAGGAGTTGCATGTGACGTCTGTAGACAGTCCACGTTTTGCAGACATATAGCAGGGTCTGGAGGACAATAGCTTTATAAACAAGCACCTTGGTATCCCTACAGATGTCCCGGTCCTCAAACACTCTCTGCTTCATTCTGGAAAATGCTGCACTTGCAGAGCTCAGGCGGTGCTGTATTTCGGTGTCAATGTTGACTTTGGTGGAGAGGTGGCTACCAAGGCAGTAGAAATTATCAACATTTTCTAATGTTATACCATTAAGCTGTATCTCTTGCATTGGAGAGGGATTGACTGGTGTCTGTTGAAACAGCACTTTAGTTTTCTCGATGTTCAATGACAGGCCGAGCTTCTCGTATGCTTCTGTGAAGGTGTTTAGAGTGGCTTGTAGGTCTTCTTCTGAATCCACCCCTCAATTGTGCAGGCTCACATGCATTGGGCCTAAATGTAGAGACCTGCCAGGGCCTGTAGCCGAGCACCAAGTAAGAAGTGTTGCTTATTCGGTGCTTGGCTGCAGGCCCTGGCAGTCCCACCACACAGATCTGCCAGGGCCTTTCTGGAGCTGCACGGTTGCCGAGTGGTGGACAGCAAGCCCAGAACCTCACCAAGAATCTCTGGTGAAGAGACCTCAGCAGCAGTGGCAGAAGGTAAGTGTCCCAACCGAAGGGGGAAACAGCAGCAGCCCTGAAACTATGGAGAAGGAAAGCATTTGTGTAGGATTACCCACCCATTGCTACCAATGAGAGAAAAATATTCCTTGTTTTCAGAAAGGTGCCATTTTCGGAAGCGGCATTCAAAAACGAAAATGCGGCCATACAAATTAAGCAATCAGAAATGGATAGCGATCCTATACAAATGCAGGAAACTAGATTACATACTTATTAAGTCACCATGCAATGACTGACCGGGTAGGTCTACTCTAGCTGGAACTACAAACAGAATGCAGGTCGCAATACTCAGGCTCAACGGCTTGCATAATGGGTGACCAGAAAAAGCTGTGGATAATATTCTTACAGGGCAATAGCTCTAGGAGGGAGTATTCAATCCAGCTCACCTTCATACTTCATCTTGTCAAAATAAGATAACTTGGAAGCAGCATAAATGATCTTGGAAGACTGCAATGCGCCCACCACTGCATCCATTAGGAGAACATTGGTCAGTGCTTGTTGAATGTACTGAGGGTCCTGGAGAAGGAACAAGAAAAGCAGGTGAGCAACGTTATATTTATCATTGTGTTTTCCACTCCTGTAAGCATAACATAACATACAAGTTATGTTATGCTTGCAGGAGTTGGAAGCACAATGATGTACAGGCAGTCCTTGAGTTACAAACAACTGACTCACAGTTAAGAACAGGAGTGAGACAACAGGAAGTCAGAGAAATCCAACCCCTCAGAAGGGAAATTCACTCCTGGAAGAGTTATTATTATGGGGGAAAGGGGTTTCCATTGAAGCTTTATCACCAATCCTTGCCGCATTATCACGAGGTGTCTGTGCCCTACACCACTGAAGAAATTACACTGTTTAGCCGGTATTGCACCACCTGACATCCGCCGGGAAGTAGCAGCCAATAGTGAAAGGACCAAGGCAGAGACATCTCCAGCTCATTCCCTGTTTGGGTATCAGCCAGCACGTCAACGACTTAAATCAAGGAATAGTTTTCTAAGATCTACAGAGACACTTGCTGGAACACCTCAGCAAGCAAAAGTCCAAAAGTGGCAGGCTCAAACCCAGAACCTCAATCAATGGCTGATACCAAATGAGAGACTCCCCCCTGGGCACACAGAAAACTGGGCGACTTGGAAGGCGCAGAACAGACTGTGCTCTGGCACCACGAGATGCCAGAAATGGGGCTACAAAGTGGAATCCACGACATGCGAGTGTGGAAAAGAGCAAACTACAGACCACCTGCTGCAATGCAACCTGAGCCCTGCTACATGCACAATGGAGAAGCTTCTTGTAGTAACACCAGAGGCACTCCAAGTGACCAGCTACTGGTCAAAGGACAATTAATCAACTACCAAGCTTGCAAACTTTTTGTTTTTGTTTGTTTGTTGGTTTAAAAATGCAGTACAACTGTTTGGCTTGCTCCTGACATGATACATAAACATATACCAATCCTTGTGGACACAACAAGCCAAATTTTTCAAAATCCAATCCTCACAGGGACAGAAAGTGCAGTGAAATTTTCGGAACAGGGACAAAGTCAGCAAAACAAAGTGCCAGACCTTGTGGTCGTCTGCCATCTTCTTCCCAGCCCACATCTCTTTCACCATCAGATGCCAAAGATCACACTCCGATTTCAGATTGGCTTCAAACATTTCTTTTCTGGACGTGGACTTTATCTTCAAAGTTGGGATTCGGAGCAGAAGGAAAGCGACTGTCGTACTCTTTACTTCCTGACCGGGTGGAAAGAGAGAGAAAACAAGGATTGGAAAGTGATACGAGGGTCGAACACTGCCCTTCTTGTTACTCTCTTGTACTGTATGTGTTGTTCTGTGTTTTGAAAAACTCCCCGGGAGTCTAACCTCCTCACAAAGATTTGCTTTTGTCTGGATCAGGAGAGGGAAGAAAGGGCTGTTTCATGTACATCATGTGATCGTATTCATGGATCGGCTTTCTTTTGAAGGCAGAGTGGAAGCAGACCCCGAGCCTTTGTTTGAGCAAGAATCCCAGAATGTGATAGCAGGGACTTCCATCGCTGTTCCAAGGGCTGAACAAGTTACCAAAACTACTCAAGAAGTTTATATTACAATTAACCAATGAAATGTAATGACTTAAAATCGATGCCAAAAAAGTTTCCAAGAATTACTTCTATCGGCTCCAAATTCTGTTCTCTGACCTACAAGAAGCACTGCCTGAATATCAAGTAAAAAGTGGGTGCTAGAAACAATATCATACGAAAGCTGACTGGCACAACCTGGGGATCACAACCAGACACAGTGAAGACATCTGCCCTTGCGCTATGCTATTCTGCTGCTGAGTATGCATGCCCAGTGTGGAACACATCTCACCACGCTAAAACAGTGAATGTGGCTCTTAATAAGACATGTTGCATTATCACAGGTTGTCTGTTCCCTACACCACTGGAGAAATTATACTGTTTAGACAGTGTAAAGTAGCAGCCAATGACAACCGCTGGGAAGTAGCAGCCAAAAAGGGAGGGACCAAGGCAGTGACATCTCCAGCCCATCCCTCGTTTGGGTATCAGCCAGCACGTCAACTACTTAAATCAAGAAATAGTTTTCTAAGATCTACAGAAACACTCGCTGGAGCACCTCAGCAAGCGAGAGTCCAAAAGTGGCAGGCTCAAACCCAGAACCTCAATCAATCTGTGTCCCCCCTGGGCGACTTAGAAGGTGCTGAACAGACTGCGCTCTGGCACCACGAGATGCAAAGCCAACCTTAAGAAATGGGCACAAAGTGGAATCCACGACATGCGAGTGTGGAGAAGAGCAAACCACTGACCACCTGCTGCAATGCACCTGAGCCCTGCCACATGCACAATGGAGGACCTTCTTGCAGCAACACCAGAGGCACTCCAAGTGGCCAGATACTGGTCAAAGGACATTTAATCAACTACCAAGCTTGCAAAGTTTGTGTTTTGTCTGTTTGTTTGTTTTGTTAAAAATGTAATACAACTGTCTGGTTGCTCCTGACGCGATAAATAAATCTCCGGCCGACCCCCTATTCAGATATCAGCCAGCACACCAATGCCTTAAACCAAGAAAAAGCTTCCTAAGATCTACAGGGATACTTGCAGGAACACCTCAGCAAGCGAGAGTCCAAAAGTGGCAGGCTGAAACCCAGAATCTCCACCTATGGCTGATACCTAATGAGATTCGCTACTGGGCGACTTGGAAGGCACTGAACAGACTACACTGAACAGAGCCAATCTTAAGAAATGGGGCTGCAAAATGGAGTCCACAACATGCAAGTGTGGAGCAAACCACAGACCACCTATTACAATGCAGCCTGAACCCTGCCACATGCCAATGAAGGACCTTCTTGCATCAACACCAGAGGCACTCCAAGTGGCCAGCTATTGATCAAAGGACATTTAATAGAATGCCAAGTTTGCAAACTTCGTGCTTTTTAGAATACATTACAACTGCATCCTGATACGATAAATAAATAGCTCCAAATTGTAGACATCTCTATTTCTAAAATATTACAAAACAAACATGGGTCTGAAACCTGTTAGCATATAATATTCAAAATTGTGTTATTTCTGCCCCACGCACCTCTATATCCCTAAAAGTAGTGATGTCTTCATAGCCAGGCCGGCCTCCTTCGGTCAAAAGGAACAAGCGTTTCTGCGTCATGGCTATTTTCCCAACGCCTTTGTTTGTTTTCACGGAGCTTGATAGCTTGTAGACACACTCGTTTTTGTCTAAGTGTTCTATGACGGCAGGGGGGAGGTTGACATCCTGAGCCTCTGCTTCTGTTTCCTTCCAGTAGTTGTAAAAGTCTTTAAATGTTTCTGGATCTATCTGCTTCTGTTGCCCTTCAAATTAAAGAATCGCATTAACATTTCTGCACAACTTGTAGGTTAAAGAGCTGCAAGACTCTGTAAAGTAAGGCTGCTAAGTGTAACTCTAGAATCCAAGCATGGCCAGAAATATTAATTAAATTCCCAAATATCAAAAACAAATAATGTCAATCACAGCCAGAGATTGAGAAGGGAGAAAGGGAGGGAGAGAGGGAGGGAGGGAGGGAGGAAAAAGAAAGGAAGTAAAGTAAAGTAAGAAGAAAGAGAGAAAAAGAGAAGGAGGAAGGAAGAAGAAGGAAGGAAGGAATGAAAAAAGAAGGAAGGAAGGAAGGGAAAGGGAAGGAGGAGAAGAAGGGAGAGGGAGGGAGGTAGGGAGGGAGGGAAGGAGGAAGAAGGAGGAGGAAGGAAGGAAGAAGGAGGAAGGAAGAAAAAAGGAAGAAAAGAAGAAAGAGGAAAGAAGGGAGGGAGGGAGGAAAGAAGGAAAAAGGAAAAAGGGAAAAAAGAAAAGAAAAGAAGAGGAAAGAAGGGAGGGAGGGAGGGAGAAGAAGGAAAAGAAGAGGGAAGAAGGAAAAGAAGGAAGGAAGAGGAAAGAAAGAAGGAAAGGAAGAAGGGAGGAAGGAAAGAAGAAGGAAAAGGAGAAAGAAGAAGGAAGGAGAAAGAAGGAAAGAAGGCAGGAAAGAAGGAAAAGAAGAAAGAGGAAAGAAGAAGGGAGAGGAAAGAAGGAAGGAAGGAAAAGGAAGGAAGGAGGAAGGAAGGGGAAGGGAGGGAGGAAAAAGGAAAGAAATAAAAGAAAGAAAAGAAAGAAGAGAAAGAAAGGAGAGAGGGAGGAGGAGAAAAAGGAAGGAAGGAAAAGAAAGAGGAAGGAAAGAAAGAGGGAAGGAAGGAAGGAAGGAAAGAAGGAGGAGGAAGGAAGGAAAGACGAAAGAAGTAAGGGGGAGGGAGGAAAGAAGGAAAAAAGAAAAGAAAGAAAAGAAAAGAGGAGTGAAAGAAGGGAGGAAGGGATGGAGGAAAGAAGGAAAAAAGAAAAGAAGGAAAAGAAAGAGCAAAAGAAGTAAGGAGGGGAGGAAAGAAGGAAAAAAGAAAAGAAAGAAAAGAAAAGAGGAGTGAAAGAAGGGAGGGAGGGATGGAGGAAGGAGGGAAGAGGAGAAGGAAGGAGAGGAAGGAAGGAAGGAAGGAAGGAAGTCCGAGAATCCTAAACATAAAGAAACATAAAAAAAAGAAAAAAAAAAAGAAAGAAAGAAAAAAAGAAAGAAAGAAAGAAAGAAAGAAAGAAAGAAAGAAAGAGAAGAAAGAAGAAAGGAAGGATTCAGAAAGTGTGGTATTGCTCAGCCCAGAGACAAAGCTCTTGTGCAAGCCCCACATTAGGCCAAAGTTAGGCCTGGCCTAAGCTATTTTCAATGTGTGAAAACCAATGAGACCTGCTCCAAAATAAAATTCTTGGGTCCCAGTTCACCAATTCTAAAGGTGCCACAATTTGGATTTAGCATAGCTTCACCCAGCCCAAAATTGCCTCAGCCTGCTGTTGGCTCTCTTGCTGGGTTGGAATTGCATTTGTAACTAGCTTTCCCTGCTATAACAACTATCTTTTCTCATGAATTTCAGAATCTTCCCATTGCTTTTCCTTGACTGCTAAAAATGGCTTTGTAATTCGATGTTGTACTTATTGTACACGGAAATAAATATGGTGAAATTAAATGGTACAAAATAGGATCTCAATAGAGAAACTGGAAAGCAATCAGAAAGACACAAATTTAAAAGCTGGAGTGCAGCATTATAATGATACATTTCTCCCACAAAGTAACACAACCTTTAGATGATGCTGCAAGGATAAATCAAAACTAGTTCCACATCCTCTACAATTACAGAACCACCAATAAAAATTCTCTATTTGCTGTAAATATCTAATACGTAATCAATATTATTAATTCGCCTATGGCCATACCACCCTGAACAAGCCCAATCTCGTCTGATCTCGGAAGCTAAGCAGGGCCAGGCCTGGTTAGTACTTCGATATTATTAATTTAACTGCTAGTATTATCTATTTTAGGTATGGTTAAAACAAATTTACAATAACTATTGCTTTAATCCTCACACTATTTTGCATTGTGCAAGGATGGTCACACATAACACTGGGAAAACCTAGGCATCCTTCCAAACCACAGGCTGGTGTAGCAAGATCAAATTGCAATGAACCTTATGTTTCCATAGTGACAGGAAAATTTGGAAGCTTATGTTTATAGTATGGACTCATCAAAGCATGTACTGCAACCAAGACAAGGACAGAGAAAACAGACAATTCTAACTGTGGGTAAATGTTGTGCAGCAGGTTAAATCACTGAGCTGCTGAACTTGCTGACCAAAAGGTTGGCGGTTCGAATCTAGGGAGCAGGTTGAGCTCCCACTGTTAGAACCAGCTTCTGCCAACCTAGCAGTTTGAAAACATGCAAATGTGAGTAGATCAGTAGGTACCGTTCCAGCGGAAAGGTAAGGGCGTTCCATGCAGTCATGCTAGCCACATTACTTTGGAGGTGTCTACAGACAACGCCGGCTCTTCGGCTGAGAAATGGTGATGAGCACCATCCCACAGAGTAGGACACGGCTAGACTTAATGTCAGGGGAAACGTTTACCTTTACTAAATGTTCACCGCACCAACCAAAGTTTCATAGATAATAGAAACCATTCCTCATGGTCACACCAGAAGAAAAATAAGGGAAAATGGTCCAACTTAAGGCTCATCGGTTGGTGAAGACGAGGTTAAACCAGGCATGGGCAAACTAAGGCCCAACTTACTGTCTGAACGCATCTCCCCTTATGAACCATCTAGGACAGGGGTCCCCAAACTAAGGCCCTAGGGCCGAATATGGCCCTACAATGTCATTTACCCGGCCCTCGCTCAGGGTCAACCTAAGTCTGTAATGACTTGAAAGCACACAACCACAACAATCCTATCTCATCAGCCAAAAGTAGGCCCACACTTTCCATTGAAATACTAATACGTTTATATTTGTTAAAATTTTATTCATTTTAATTACTGTACTGTTTTTAAGTGTTTTTTGCACTACAAATAAGAGTTTGCATAGGAATTAATAAGTTTGCATAGGAATTAATTCATGTTTTTTTCTAATTATAATCCGGCCCTCCAATAGTTTGAGGGACTGTGACCTGGCCCTCTGTGTAAAAAGTTTGAGAACCCCTGATCTAGGACGTTAAGATCGTCTGGGGAGGCCCTGCTCTCGATCCCGCCTGCGTCACAAATACATTTGGTGGGAACGACAGACAGGGCCTTGTCAGTGGTGGCCCCTCGGCTATGGAACGCCCTTCTTAGAGACATTAGATCGGCCCCCTCCCTTTTAACATTCTGAAAAAAAGTCAAGACTTGGCTTTTTGAGCAAGTGTTTGAAAATGCAGTGTAACAGACATAGGAATAGGGAACAACTGGATGATGAGATTGGACAACGTTTTAACTAGGAGAATCATAGAATCATAGAATCAAAGAGCTAGAAGAGACCTCATGGGCCATCCAGTCCAACCCCATTCTGCCAAGAAGCAGGAATATTGCATTCAAATCACCCCTGACAGATGGCAATCCAGCCTCTGTTTAAAAGCTTCCAAAGAAGGATGCAAATGATTTATGTCTTATTGATCTTTTTATGGTTTTATATTAAATGTTAACGTTTTTAAATGTTTTAAATGTTTTATGGTGTTGTTGGGCATTGAATAAATAAAAAAAATAAAAAATAAATAAGGTCTGGGGGCCAGATATGGCCCCTGGGCGCTTACCTCAGGCCCTCCTCATTTTCCCTGTCCTCTCGGCATAAGGATGTGATGGCCCGCCGCATCATAGCATCATAGAATCCTAGAGTTGGAAGAGACCTCATGGGCCTTCCAGTCCAACCCCCTGCCAAGAAGCAGGAAAACTGCATTCAAAGCTCCCCTGACAGATGGCCATCCAGCTTCTGTTTAAAAGCTTCCAAAGAAGGAGCCTCCACCACACTCTGGGGCAGAGTTTTCTACTGCTGAACAGCTCACAATGAGAAAGAATGGGGGAGGAAGGCACGCAGCAGCTGAGAGTCCTCTGGAGCACTCTCAGCCACGGCGTGTCTCGCTCTCCTCTCGGCATTATGTTGAAGGACAGCCCAAAGATCGAGGGAGGAGGATCAGAGAGGAGGATTGGGGCAGTGGCCACATGTCCTGTTTTGTCTCATTTCCCTCCCCATCCTTAAGCCATGCTGATTTTGCTTACCAACTGTTAATGCATCAAATAGCCGGTGTATAGTGTCTATGTCTTTCACGATGCCAGACTCCTGAATGCGCTTCACAAAGTCCGCCAGTTGCATGTGGGTTTTGGGCAGCTCAAAGTTTTTCACGTGGTCGTCCGCCTTGGTTATTTCTCTTTGCTTGTCCAACACCAGGCTGATCAGTCTCTTCAGCTCTGGTTTCTGATCTGCTTGGGAGCGGTCAGAAGCGGGAAGGGCTTCCACCGTTTTCCTCACAAGGTCAGTAGGGAATATCCTTATATCCGTCTTGTACAGGTTTTGAAAGTCCGAAAGCGCATTGAGAAGCCTTCCTTGCATCAAACAAATCAGTCCCCGAAGGTAGAAGTATCTCGCGAGAAGTACAGAGTTATCAGGAGACACGATGTTGATAGCTCTGCTGAGATGGTTGATAAAATCAATATAGTAAGACAGGACACATTGGCCCACCAGAGGAAAGTGGATTTCTGGGATCTTGAAAGTGCTCACTTGTTTCGAAACCAGCCTCAAAGCTAGAAAAGGAGAAGAAAGTGTTGTTTACAAGTCATATTCCAAAGCTCACTGACTGCTCTCATTTCTCTGAACTTAGGAAGCCTTGCATTACCACATATTTCCTCTTCTGAGAAAGCGTGAGAATGTTATCGTTCTGCAAAACATCCCCAGGTTGTTGCTCAATAACAACTTAGACTCCTTTCACAGTCTGCAAAAGGGCACATTTTACCAACAGAGTAAGAATTTTGCATGCTACACTGACCACTTGTTAAATCAGTGGTTTTCAGACAGCTGGGCTTTAGCACAGCTGGTTAATCACCAGCAGCAATAGATCTTACCGATCGAAAGGTTGGCCATTCGAAGCCCAGGTGGGGGTGAACACCCAACCTTGAGCCCAGCTTACTGAGTCGCCCAACGTTGGAGAAAAGCGGTATATAAATGAAGTAAATAAATAAATACTCAGTTCGAAAGCAGTTCGAAATTAGGTACCGCTTAAGTGGGAAGGTATTTTACAGCACCACAAAAAGGAAATACCAGAAAAATGCCGTCAACCAAAGAATGGAGGAAGTCTGTGATCAAGGGCTCTTTGTCACAGACAATGGAGTAACAGCACCACCTTGTGGCCAGAATTGAGGACAACCTCCAGGACACCAAAGTTGGGAAAAATGCCAAAATAATACCACTATCTGTTATCTGTCCTGTCTGTTTAACGGCATTGAATGTTGGCCGTGTATGTGTGATCCGCCTGAGTCCCCTTCGGGATGAGAAGGGCGGAATAAAAATGCTGTAAATAAATAAAATAATACATTTTCAACCTTCCGAATGTTGCAACCCCTTAATACAGTTCCTCATGTTGTGTTGACCCCCATTATTTTCGCTGCTACTTCATAACTGTAATTTGCTACTGTCATGAATCGTAATGTAAATTTGGCACAAATACCCGATACGCCCAAATTTGAATGCTGTGCAGTTGGGGGGGGGGGGGTTGATTTTGACATTTAGGGGTTGTAGTTTCTGGGATTTATAGTTAATCTACAATTAAAGAGCATTCAGAACTCCACCAACGATGGAATTGAACCAAACTTGGCACACAGAACTCCCATGACCTACAGAAAATACTGGAAGGGTTTGGTGGGCATTGACTTTGAGTTTTGGAGCTATAATTCACCTAACTCCAGACAGTACTATGGACTCAAACAATGATGGATTTGAACCAAATTTGGCATGAATATTCAATATGCACAAATGTGAACTCTGGTGGAGTTTGGGGAAAAAAGATCTTGACATTTGAGAGTTGTAGTTGCTGGGATTTATAGTTCACCTACAATCAAAGAGCACTCTGAACCCAACCCACAATGGATCTGCAGTAAACTTGGCACACTGCCTACTTGTTCAACATTGAATACTGGTGAGCTAGGGGCAGCTGCTTTTGGATTCTGGGAGTTGTAGTTCTCCAACACCCAAAAGGAAGTGAAGGACAGGTGGAGAGATCTTCAGCCTTCTCTGCCAAAGGGGTTCTAAGACCATCAAAAATATGTTTTCTGATGGTCTTTGGCGACCCCTCTGAAACCCCCCTCACAACCCCCACCCAGTGATCCCGACCCCCAGGTTGAGAAACACTTGTGTTGACTCCTTCTAGAACAACCAAAAACCGATGGATGTGTCGATGACGACAGCCAACTTACCGTGCTTAGTGTTTATGCGTCGAAGAGAAGAATTCCGAGCTGGGCTGTTCATGGGACCGATGTCTTGCAGATTCGGCAAACTCATTCCCATTCGCTTGCTGATCATGTACTGAGGATTAAACCTTTTGATAACCATTTTCTCCATAGTGAGTCTCCTTGGGCTGTCAAGCATTGAACTTAATCTAACAGAAGAGAGATTCAAATAAATAAACAATGTGTTCTGTTTGGAATCAAGAGACTATTATTTAATCCCAGCAGCATCTGGCAATTCCCATACACATTGCTTAAATTTCACAATAAGTCTATATTCTCTTGAACAAGCGTGGGAAACCTTGGGCCCTCCAGGTGTTTTGGACTTCAACTCCCACAATTCCTAACAGCTGTTAGGAATTGTGGGAGTTGAAGTCCAAAACACCTGGAGGGCCTAAGTTCACCTGTGCCTGCTCTAGAAATTCTCAGCAATCTCATTCTAATTTTAGGCCTGTCATTCTTCTTCTTCATATGTTTTGGAAGTAGTTCACTGCAATCATGAGAGCTACAGTGTTCCTCGCTATATCGCGGTTCGCTTATTGCACGCTCGCTCTTTCGGGGGTCTGCAATAAGTGAGGGGGAGCCATGGGGGGGAAGAGGGAGCCAGGTGCTTGGCCTTACGCTGGGGCTTGTCTCTGCACACTTGGCAGTGGCCTCATCCTCTTCGCTGAGTCTGCTGCTCACCGCCTCGGAGGCCCCTTGGACTCTGTTGACAGCACTGCCAGGCTGGGCTGAAGCCTCGGCCCAGCATGGCAGTGCCACCAACAGCACCCAAGGGGCCTCCAAGGCAGCAAGCAGCAGACTCGGTGAAAAGGACAAGGCCATTGCTGAGTGGGGACGCTCCAAAGAGGTCTCGTCCTACCTTTGCCAAGTCTGCTGCTTGCTGCCTTGGAGACCATCAACTTGTCCAAGGGGCCTCCAAGGCGGCGAGCAGCAGACTCAGTGAAGAGGACGAGGCCGCTGCTGAGTAGGGACGCTCCGTTCACTCGGCAGAGGCCTCGTCCTCTTTGCCAAGTCTGCTGCTCACCACCTTGGAAGCCATCAACTTGCCCAAGGGGCCTCCGAGGCAGCAAACAGCAGACTCGGCAAAGAGGACGAGGCCGCTGCTGAGTAGGGATGCTCCGCTCACTTGGCAGAGGCCTTGTCCTCTTCGCCAAGTCTGCCGCTCGCCACCTTGGAGACCATCAACTTGTCCAAGGGGCCTCCAAGGTGGCGAGCAGCAGACTCGGCAAAGGGGACGAGGCCACTCTGAGTAGGGACGCTCCACTCACTTGGCAGAGGTCTCGTCCTCTTTGCCAAGTCTGCTTCTCACCACCTTGGAAGCGATCAACTTGCCCAAAGGGCCTCCGAGGCAGCAAGAAGCAGACTCGGCGAAAAGGACAAGGCCGTTGCCAAGTGGGGACGCTCCAAAGAGGCCTCGTCCTCTTTGCCAAGTCTGCTTCTCACTACCTCGGAGACCATCAACTTGTCCAAGGGGCCTCCAAGGCGGCGAGCAGCAGACTCAGCGAATAGGATGGAGGAGCCTCCACTACACTCCGGGGCAGCGAGTTCCACTGCTGAACGGCTCTCACAGGAAGTTCTTCCTCATGTTCAGATGGAATCTCCTCTCTTGTAGTTTGAAGCCATTGTAGTTTGAAGCCTTGGAAGCCATCAACTTGCCCAAGGGGCCTCCAAGGCAGTGAGTAGCAGACTCGGCGAAGAGGACGAGGCCATGGCTGAGTGGGGACACTACGCCCACTCGGCAGTGGCCTCATCCTCTTCGCCGAGTCTTCTGCTTGCCACCTCGGAGGCCCCTTGGGCTCCGTTGATGGCACTGCCAGGCTGGGCTGAGGCCTCAGACCAGGCCTCAGCCCAGCCTGGCAGTGCCATCAACGGAGCCCAAGGGGCCTCTGAGGCAGCAAGCAGCAGACTCGTGAAGAGGACGAGGCCGCTGCCGAGTGGGCGGAGTGACCTTACTTCACGGATTTTCACTTATCGCGGGTGGTTCTGGAATAGCTCATCATTGTGTGAGCTCATATAGGAAAGAATATAAACTATACCAGGGACAGTGATTTACCTGTTTTCTTCAGTTTGGGTGGTAAGTTCAAGGCGTGCAAAGGCGTCCATCTTCCTGTTAAGGCGAGCTTTGAGAAAAGAGTGGAACATATAGGTCTCCAATACCTGCAAGGCACAACAAGGAGACAGCATTAATTGTCAGAAATTAACTAGGTGTTTTTAATTACAAAAATGTGAGTCGAGCACTGAAAGGGTTAAATGGATGTAATGACTCAGCAAAAGCTGCAACTCAATATAAGCAGGTGTGCCTGTAGCTTAGTAACCCTCGGTCTATGAGAGGTCTCTGTGGGAGAAGGGCCTCAATGTGTTAGTAAGCCTCAGTATGAGAAAGCCTCAGTGTTAGTTCGCCTCATTGTATGAAAGGTGTTAGTATGAGTATTTAGTCTCAGTATTTGAGAAGGCCTCAGTGTGAGAAGGCCTCAGTATGAGTAGGCCTGGTGTGAGACACCTCAGTGAGAAAGCTCCAGTTTGAAGGCTGCTGTGTGTAAAAAGCTACTGTGTGAAGGAGCGAAGGAGAAAGAGAAGAGGGAAGGAAGGGAAGGATGGAAAGAGAAAGAAAGAGAGAAGGAAGGAAAGAAGGGAGGGAAAAAGAGAAGAAGGAGGGAAGGAGAAGGAAGGAAAAAAAAAAAGGGAAAGAGGAAGGAGGGAGGAAAGGAAGGAAGGACGAAGGGTGGAAGGAAGGAGGGAGGGAAGGAGAAAGAGGGAGGAAGGAAGGGAAGGTGGAAGGGGGGGGGGGGAAGGAAGGAAGGGAGGGAGGAAGAAGGAAGGGAAAGGAAATGGAGGGAGGAAGAGAGAAAGGGAGAAGGAAGAATACAAAAGGGAAGGAAGGAAGGAAGGAAGGAAGGAAGGAAGGAAGGGGAGGGAGGGAGGGAGGGAGGGGGGGGAGGAGGGAGGGAGGGAGGGAGGAAGGAAGGAGGGAGGGAGGGGGAGGAGGAGGAGAGGAGGGACGGACGGACGGACAGACAGAAAGAAGAGGAAGGGAGGGAGGGAGGGAGGAGGAAAGAATGAAAGAAAGAAAAGGGAAGGAAGGGAGGAAGAGAGGGAGGGAGGAAAAAAGAAGAAAGAAAGACAAAAGGGAAGGAAGGAAGGAAGGAAGGAAGGAAGGAAGGAAGGAAGGAAGGAAGGGAGGGAAGGGGGAGGGAAGGAGGGAAGGAGGGAAGGAGGGAGGGAGGGAGGGAGGGAGGGAGGAGGGAGGAGGAAGGAGGGAGGAGGAAGAAGAAGAAGGGGAAGGGAGGGGGAGGAAGAAGAAAGAAAGGAAAAGGGAAAGGAAGGGAGGAAAGAGAGGGAGGAGGAAAGAGAGGAAGAAAGACAAAAAGGGAAGGAAGGAAGGAGGAAGGAAGGAAGGAAGGAAGGAAGGAAGGAAGGAAGGAGAGGGAGGGAGAGGAGGAAGGGAGGGGAGGGAGGGAGGGAGGGAGGGAGGGAGGAAGGATGAGAGAGAGGGAAGGAGGGGGGAGGGAGGAGGGAGGGAGGAAGGAAGGAAAAGGAAGGAGAGAGGGAAGGAGGGAGAAAGAAAGAAAGAAAGAAAGAAAGAAAGAAAGAAAGAAAGAAAGAAAGAAAGAAAGAAAGAAAGAAAGGAAAGAAGGGAGGGAGGGAGGGAGGGAAGGAGGAAGGGAAGAGAGAAAGAAGGGAGGATAGGATGATGAGAGAGAGGAGTGCCTGAGAAAAGAACCCTAGGGGCCACATCCATTCTCTGGGCCTTGGTTTGCCCATACCTGTGCTATGATATACTTATGCAGACAGGTAGGTCTTTCGATTTTGCCATATTAGTGGCGCTTTCTTCTCAAATATGCCTTCCTCCACTAGATGGCAGGAGTATTCAATAATAAGGAGTAAGAGACAGATCGCTAGTATCCACACTTCCAACACAGACTTCAGAAATACTCTCAAGGCAACCTACTATCACTTATTATTCTAAATCAGTGGTGAGACTCGCATAGTCCATTTGATGTACTTTATAATAATTTATTATTCTAAATCAGGCATGGGCAAACTTGGGCCCTCCAGGTGTTTTGGACTTCAACTCCCACAATTCCTAACAGCCGATAGGCTGTTAGGAATTGTGGGAGTTGAAGTCCAAAACACCTGGAGGGAGAGACAAAGTTTGCCCATGACTGGTGTAAATGCTTAAAGATTTTCAAGTGCTGTAAAAGGCCTGGTGCATGCAAGTCGGATGTTTTGCAAGAAAACAGTAATTCCAAGAAGCATAATCTAATCAAAAAGGAAAATAAGATCAAACACAACTTCACTGAAATGAACGAATAAATGTGATTCTTTTTTTAAAGTACTTTCTGCAACAAAACAAGCTCAAAAGATTCATTTTGTAAGCTCTTGTTGTGATGAATCCAAGTGACAAAATGGTTCAAAGAAATTCTGAAGATTTATTTACCTTCCTGTAAAACGGCTGGTCACCCACTTGTCTTGTTTTCATGAATTCTTCACTGTTAAATACTCTGTGCTCGTAATTCAAATGGTCTTTCACCTCCCTGTTGAGTTTTTTTTTTAAAAAAAGAGAATTACACAAAGCTCAAGAACTCAGAAAAATAATCTTAATTGAGTTGTCGAAGGCTTCCATGGCCGGAATCACTGGGTTGCTGTGAGTTTTCCGGGCTTTGAAGCTGCAAGGCCATTCAATGCTAATCAAGGTGGCCAATTGCAACATTCGTACCTGCCTCTCACAAACAAGAGTTCTTTCTCCTACTTTGGACATTCCACAGATATATAAACCTCACTTGAATAGCCTTGCAGCATCAAAGCCTGGCTGCTTCCTGCCTGGGGAAGGAAATCAGGACAGTAAATAAAGAACAACGCTCAGAAAGCATGGAAATTCCAGACAGGAAACAATCACCTCCCAACAAAGTATTCCCCCAGGCAGGAAGGCTTTGAAGTTGCAAGGCTATTCAATGCTAGGCTAGGTGGCCAATGGCAAAAGTCACACCTGTCTCAAACAAACAAGAGTTCTTTCTCCCACCCTGGACATTCCACAGATATATATACCTCACTTGAACAGCCTTGCAGCATCAAAGCCTGGCTGCTTCCTGCCTGGGGAAGGAAATCAGGACAGTAAATAAAGAACAACGCTCAGAAAACAGGGGAATTCCAGACAGGAAACAATCACCTCCCAACAAAGTATTCCCCCAGGCAGGAAGCAGCCAGACTTTGAAGCTGCAAGGCTATTCAATGCTAAGCTAGGTGGCCAATGGCAAAAGTCACACCTGTCTCAAACAGACAAGAGTTCTTTCTCCCACCCTGGATGTTCCACAGATATATAAACCGCACTTGTATAGCCTTGCAGCATCAAAGTCTGGCTGCTTCCTGCCTGGGGAAGGAAATCAGGACAGTAAATAAAGAACAACGCTCAGAAAACAGGGGAATTCCAGACAGGAAACAATCACCTCCCAACAAAGGATTCCCCCAGGCAGGAAGCAGCCAGGCTTTGAAGCTGCAAAGCTATTCAATGCTAAGCTAGGTGGCCAATGGCAAAAGTTACACTTGTCTCATACAGACAAGAGTTCTTTCTCCCACCCTGGACGTTCCACAGATATATAAACCGCACTTGTATAGCCTTGCAGCATCAAAGTCTGGCTGCTTCCTGCCTGGGGAAGGAAATCAGGACAGTAAATACAGAACAACCCTCAGAAAACAGGGGAATTCCAGACAGGAAATAATCACCTCCCAACAAAGGATTCCCCCAGGCAGGAAGGCTTTGAAGCTGCAAGAATATTCAATGCTAATCTAGGTGGCCAATGGCAAAAGTCACACCTGTCTCAAACAAACAAGAGTTCTTTCTCCCACCTTGGACATCTTTCCACAGATATACAGACCCCACTTGCCTAGTTTCCAACAGACCTCACAATCTCTCAGGATGCCTGCCACAGATGTGGGTGAAACGTCAGAAGAAAATGCTTCTGGAACATGGCCATACAGCCTGGAAAACTCACAGCAACCCAAAATAACCATAGTCAACAACCTTGGCATTTTGTTATCACAGCAAGTTGAAAGGGAAAGAAGTAGGAGACAGAAAAACACGAGGAGGTGCAAACTTGCAGAGGAAATTAATTCCTTTCAATATGGTTCAGTTTATTAACGGATACGGTGATTTTGCATCTGCAAAAAGCGCCACAAATCAGCTGCCAAATTGCAAGGAAAACACAGAGTGTCAACTGGTAACCGAAAACAACTCATCTTATAACAATTCCTAAAAGGCCCTTGGCTAGAAACATATGGTCCCTTCACTATTTATTCCTGCAGCAAAATATGGTTCTACCAGCTTGTGACGCTCATAAAATTAAGTCACAGAACTATCTGCAAAATCCATTCACAAACCTGAGTAGTTTGCAATACATTTTTCACCTTCAGTTCCCCTGCAAACTAGGGTAATTTTAATCATTGAAAATATCGGACTGAAAACATTGCTTATTCCTTCAACCAGTGCTGGGATGTAGTTTCAGTGCAGAAGAGAGAAAAAAGAATGTCACGTATAGTAAAATGTATTATATTTTATGTATTTTTACAGAATTGGACATCATAAAAGGCATCTTCTCTCACATACCGGAAGATATTGACGATCAACTGCAAGGTAATCTGCTGAATCTCAGCATTGAGCCTCTGCTGCCACTTCCTCTTGCGCAACTGGATTTCGCCAAGGTCTGTACAGGAAGCAAGGTGGCAGAGCTCAAGCTCATAGTGCAGGGGGAGGGTTTCCACCCTGGGAAAAGAAAACAAAGCACGAGCCCTCATTATTACTCCATGTTGAAAGAATTCTACTTAACGCTTTTTCCTAAATGCTAAGCCAACAACAGAAGAATGGGAACCAAATGGGTCCCTTATAGTTCAGGCCTGGGCAAACTTCGGTCCTCCAGGTGTTTGGACTTCAACTCCCACAATACCTGACAGCCACAGTTTGCCTATGCTTGCTATAATCAATAGGATTGGTAGTGAGGTATACGGGAACTCTGAAAAACACAGTATTATAAGGGTATCTTAAGGGCAAATGACAAGCTAATTCAATTCCTTTTACCCTCCCAAAAAGACACAGCTGGTTGAGAGTCAGCTGCATTAAAATCACTACTGACTAAAAGGTCATGAGTTCGAAGCAAGCCTGGGTCAAAGTAAGCTCCCAACCATTTGTCTAGCTTGCTGTTGATCTTTGCAGCCCAAAAGACTTGCAGTTTCTCTAGTCACTTCTGACACGAAAAAAAAATCAACTGTGTCTGATCCTCCTGGAAAGAGGATCTCCAAGTGCCCCCAAGACCCATTTCGGAGAGCCACCCCAGAAGGATACTGTTGCACTCCAGGGCAGGAAAAGCCCTCTGACTTTCAACACCACACCATTGGATGGGTCTATCTATTTTAATTATTGAAGATAATTAAAAAGAAATAAGGTAAAAAAACACTTTAAAGAAATAGGTAAATCCAAATATGTAGGAAGATGAGCAGGAACAAAGTAATCCAGGGTAATAGTCCAGCAAAGTCCATAAAAACCAAGGCAAAACTTTCCAAATAAAATGCAAAGAATCAGGAAACATAAACCCAAGGCATGAATATAGAGCATAAAATCCAAGAACCATGAAACAAAGCACTTAAAACATGAATTTCCCAAGCAAAACTTTCATGAACAAGCAAGAGATCTTGACTTGATTCCAAATGATGTTTCATCTGACTACATATCCTGTACTTGGGACTTTTATCTCCTCGTTAGCTAAGTCTCTAGCATTCAGAAATTGGTTTTGTTTTAACTGAGAATTAGGTGATCAGCTGAAACATTCACACCTAGCCCCAGCAGACAAAAGTCCTTTGTCTCACCCTGGTCATTCCATAGATATATAAACCCATTTTTCCTACTTCCAACAGACCTCACTACCTCTGAGGATGCTTGCCATAGATGCAGGCGAAACGTCAGGAGAAAAATTGCCTCCAGAACATGGCCATATAGCCCGGAAAAACCTACAACAACCCAGTGATTCCGGCCATGAAAGCCTTCGTCAATACATTTAACTGAGAATTTCTTATCTTTTTCTCGCAGAGCCTGGCAGACCAGCAAAGCCACTGTTCAACTCTCCTGTTTTGACTAATCTCCTTGGGTCTGTCTATTTGTTCATTATCTATTTGCTCATTAATTTCTGCAGAGCTGTTTTCATGTTCCCTATCATGGGAACTCTCTGGTAACAATTCAGATAGCACACCATCATCCCCATATCCCTCAGGGACATTCTCATGGGAAACTACACTTTGAACAGGGATCTCCTGGTCATTCTCTGCATCAAGATCACTGACCAAACCATTGCCAGCTTGAAACTCATTGACATCATTCCCCACATCCAAAGCACCCTGATCCTGGAACACAATCACAGGCTGAGCTCCAACAGATACCACGATGGATGGTTATCGAAAGCTGTTGAGATGTCCAACAGAATCAACAAGGACACACTCCCCCTGTCAAGCTCTCTGCGGAGGTCATCCACCAAGGCAACCAAAGCTGTCTCCATACCGTGGCCTAAACCCAAACTGTGATGGATCTAGATAATCGGTACCATCCAAGAATCCTCGGAGCTGAGAAGCCACCACCTGCTCTACAACCTTGCTCAGGAAGGGAAGATTGGAAATTGACCAGTAGTTATTCAATACCATGGAATCTAGAGACGTCTTCTTCAAAATAGGTCTCACTAATGCCCTTTTCAGGCTTGGTGGTATTTGTCCCTGTTCCAACGAGGCATTTATAATCCTCGTAATCCACTCGGATAATCTCCCATTAGCCTTGCCAAATAAAAATGGCACTTTCATGCAATGGATTTGGGAGGCTGGTTAATATCCAGGAACTCTGCCCTTTATCAGCAGCTCACCATACAATATCCTATACCAGTGGTTCTCAACCTGGAGGTCGGGACCCCTGGGGGGGGTCGCGAGGTGGTGTCAGAGGGGGTCGCCAAAGACCATCAGAAAACACAGTATTTTCTATTGGTAATGGGGGTTCTGTGTGGAATGTTTGGGCCAATTCTATCATTGGTGAGGTTCAGAATGCTCTTTGATTGTAGGTGAACTATAAATCCCAGAAACTACAACTACCAAATGTCAAGGTCTATTTCCCCCAATCTCCACCAGTGTTCACATTTGGGTATATTGGGTATTCATGCTAAGTTTAACCCAGATCCATCATTGTTTGAGTCCACAGTGCTCTCTGGATGTAGGTGAACTACAACTCCAAAACTCAAGGTCAATGCCCACCAAACCCTTCCAGTATTTTCTGTTGGTCATGGGAGTTCTGTGTGCCACATTGGGTCCAATTCCGTCATTGGCGGAGTTCAGAATGCTCTTTGATTGTAGGTGAACTATAAATCCCAGAAACGACAACTACCAAATGTCAAGGTCTATTTCCCCCAATCTCCACCAGTGGCCACATTTATTGAGTATTCATGCTAAGTTTGGTCCAGATCCATCATTGTTTGAGTCCACAGTGCTCTCTGGTTGCAGGTGAACTACAACTCCAAAACCCTTCCAGTATTTTCTGTTGGTCATGGGAGTTCTGTGTGACATGTTGGGTCCAATTCCATCATTGGCAGAGTTCAGAATGCTCTTTGATTGTAGGTGGACCCTAATATATCCCAGCAACTACAACTCCCAAATGATAAAACCAATCCCCCTCAACTCCACCATTATCAAATTTGGGAGTATTGGGTATTTGAGCCAAATTTGGTCCAGTGAATGAAAATACATCCTGCATACCAGATATTTGCATTACGATTCATAACAGTAGCAAGATCACAGTTATAAAGTAGCAATGAAAATAATGTTATGGTTGGGGGTCACCACAATATGAGGAACTGTATTAAGGGGTTATGGCATTAGGAAGGTTGAGAAACACTGTCCTATACCATTCTCTCAAAGTTGCAATATGGGAACGTCTGCAAAAGAATCCAAGGTTTCAGGAAGAACTCAGTTATTTGGATCCAATCCACAACACTCAGATTAAATATTTAGGTAATACACTTGACATTAAGCACATGCCATCTCTTTTATTTTGGTTTATTGAACCAAGTATCCTGAACAGATTCAGGATTTTATCTTTGACATTTTTTTTCTTTTTACCGTGTTATAAAAATCCTTCCTGCTTGCAGAGGGATATCTGGGATTTCAGATTCTTCTTCAGACGTCTTGGACTGAGCAATATCCCCATTATCAATGTTAATCAGAATTAAATCATCCGCTTCCTTCCATTTAGAAAAAAAAACAAAACAAACATTTGTTAAGGAAACAAAAACGGTTAGTCATGGTTAAAAACATAATTACTGCGAAGCTGGCAATTAAGAAGCATGGTAAATCTGACCAACACCAATATTAACCGTAGCAAAAAAATATTATCTTTGAATTAGATGTATCATTGTATTGTCAAAGGCTTTCATGGCCGGAATCACTGGGTTGTTGTAGGTTTTTCTGGGCTATATGGCCATGGTCTGGAGCAATTTTTCTCCTGACGTTTCGCCTGCATCTATGGCAAGCATCCTCAGAGGTAGTGAGGTCTGTTGGAAGTAGAAAAATGGGTTTATATATCTGTGGAATGACCAGGGTGAGACAAAGGACTTTTGTCTGCTGGGGCTACATGTGAATGTTTCAGCTGATCACCTTGATTAGCATTCAATGGCTTGGAAGTGCCTGGGGGGGAATCTTTTGTTGAGAGTGATTTTATGTGCCTGTTTGTTTCCCCTCTGTTGTTTTGCTGTTGTAATTTTGAGTTTTTTAATACTGGTAGCCAGATTTTGTTCATTTTCATGGTTTCTTCCTTTCTGTTGAAATTGTCCACATGCTTGTGGATTTCAATGGCTTCTCTGTGTAGTCTGACATGGTGGTTGTGAGAGGGGTCCAGCATTTCTGTGTTCTCAAATAATATGCTGTGTCCAGGTTGGTTCATCAGGTGGTGGAGGATAGGGAAAAATGCAGAACTAAAATCCCAGTTCTTGTGCATCCCTTTTATCTCCAATGAATCAAGCTGGCAGAGCACACCCAGCAGACAAAGGTGCTCACTGGAGTGGTATCTTAAGTAACTCTGATGCCCTGGTCATTACACAGATATATAAACCCATTTTTCCTACTTCCAACAGACCTCACTACCTCTGAGGATGCTTGCCATAGATGCAGGCGAAATGTCAGGAGAAAAATTGCCTCCAGAACATGGCCATATAGCCCGGAAAAACCTACAACAACCCAGATGTATAATTTTTTTTCTTATTACTCATTTGAAAAAAACAGTCAGATTTGGATATACCCTGAACCCATCCTTCCCATTAGGCCTGGACAAACTTCATCCCTCCAGGTGTTTTGGACTTCAACTCCCACAATTCCTAACAGTCTCAGTCCCCTTCATTTCCCCCCTCAGCCTTACACCTTATGAACACAGTCTGAAGATAATTTTATACTTTGCTTAATAATTTTGTGCATGTAACCAAGTCCACGTACAAGTAAAGCTGTCACTATCTCAGACACTCATATGAACAATGTTGGATTTTAGAACATTGCAGATTTCAAAATACTTGATGTTCAACCTTTATACGTACATAACAAACACCCTTAAGAAGAAACACATGCTACTAATTCTACAAAGGACTGGTAATTTTTTTTAGCGAACAAGCATTTACTGAAGTCCTCAAAAAGATCAAAGCAGAGAGAATGAAATATGAGTGAAGTCCCATTCATGCGGGTGAAGTGAAACAGAGAGAAATCCATGGCAAACCTTGCAAACTTCTTCAAAGTGATCGATGTGACATCCCATGAGGAAAGATGTGGGAGCCATGACGAAATCCAACATCTGACGAGACAGAATGGGCACAAAAGTGTGCTGCCACTGAATAGGATGCAGGTATTGCATGAAACACTCGGATATGAGTGTAAGCAAGGCCCAGTTGGACGAGAAGAAGACTATCTTCCGCTCAGTCAAAATGCAAGTTATTATCTGGGAAGAGAGAGAAAAAAAATTTCAATTTTTGACAAATTAATGTCTGCCTGTCCTACATCTGCCACTGTTTAACCTCTTTTGGGGGTGACTATAGCTCTGTTGTAGTTCAGCCCATGGTTGTGCCTGATACCGATGTAAATGGGGAAGTGGATCATGGGAACTCTGGGCCTGGGTGCCAACATGAGATTTTAAGTCCTGAAAATGATCAGTCTGTGTTTCCAGCAGTTAGTGAAGGTCTCATTCCAAAGAGGTGCTGAGATGGTACAGAAGAGTCATCCTTTAGGGAAACGGTTCAGAGGCTGAAATCCCAGGTGGAAAGAATAATGAGGTGCAAGATAATGAGCTGGTTGATAGGAGACTGAGTTTTCGTAAACTTTGTGTTGCTCAACAGATTCTCCGAAGGTCACAGCGCTTGCTAGAAAAGAGATCCATATCAGGAAGTCATGGGAGAAGGCATGATTTCATGGGTATATTAGAGAGGCCGGGAGAATATTCCAGCCAGTCTGGTAATTGAAGCAACAGCTCTTGCCAAGTGCTAGTCAACCTTTCTAAAGGACTTCTAGATCCATGTCTTTGCTCCTGTTTCATGCTTCCAAATTTGAAGGATTGTGCCTGGATTTTTGTATTGGGTTCTATGCTGCCTTGCACTTCCTGATTTATTTTTGTATTCCTGTGCTGGATGCCCTGTTGCTTTGAGATTTTGGATTACTCCTGTACCTTAAACTTTGTGGACTATTTTATACATAAAGACTATGAAGTTTTTACTATTTTTGCTTTTTATATAATCTTTAATCTACTGATTTTCTGATTTAACTTGGACTGGAGTGTGGTGATTAAGTACAGAGGTGTTTCCTGGCCTGTAGTCCAACAAGCTTCTTGATTTAGGAGGAAAATATTAATTTACTCTACACCTGCAAAATTAGATAATCTGCTGTGGTATCTCACATGCTCTTGCTTATGTGTCTAATTCCAAACACACTGAGTAGCCCAGCCGGATGGTTCTATATAACGTAGCTTTAAAAAAAAAGTCACCCCAAGCCTGAGTGTTTTCTTTCTCTGCCTACCCACTTCCTGCTGCTACAGCTATCTCTTTCTGTTGCCAGGAAAGGAAATTTAAACACCCCCCAAAGGAAGCAGAAATCTGTTGTGCTCTATTTCATCAAACAGAAGGGAAGGGAAAACAGTGACAGAGGAGACACACATAGATTAAAAGACATATAAATAGATGCACAGCATCATATCTCTCGCCTAAATAGGGCCGGGCTTTAGCACAACAGATTAACCACGAGCGGCAGTAAATCTTGCCAACCGAAAGGTTGACAGTTTGAAGTCAAGATCAGGGTGAGCTCCTGGCCTTTACACCAGTTTCTGCCTACCTCACAGTTTTGGAAAACAGCTATGTGAGTAGATAAATAGGTACCTCTTAAGTGGGGAGGGATTTACGGCATCCATAAGGAAATCCCAGGAAAAATGCCAGGAATTTGATAAAGGAGGACGTTTACGAACAAAGGTCTTCGGCAGGGAAAAGTGAAATGAGAGTACCCCCCTGTGGTCGGAACCAAGCAGAGCCCCCAAGATGCCGAAGATAGGAAAGCCTAGATATACCTCTATCTATGTACTGTTGTCTATCTTGTCAGTGTATAATGTCACTGAATGTTTGCCGTATTTGTGTTATGTGATCCGCTTTGAGTCCCCTTCAGGGTGAGAAGGGTGGAATATAAACACTGTAAATAAATCAATAATAAATAAATACCCAGTATGACCTGCATATATACAGGATAGATAATTGTGGTTTCATTTATCCATGTCTGACAACATGCATTCTTTTTGAGGCACTTTTTGTGGTCTTCCAACACAATTCCTTTATATTCTTGGGCTAGAAGGCCTTCATTTCAACAGGGTTTACTATTAGGAGCACCCAGTGGAGCAATAGGTTAACCCAGGCATCCTCAAACTGCAGCCGTCCAGCTGTTTGGGCCTTCAACTCCCAGAATTCCTGACAATTGAACAAGCTCATTAGGGCTTCTGGGAGTTGTAGGCCCAGCTGGAGGGCCACAGTTTGAGGATGCCTGGGTTAAACCCTTGTGCCGACAGGACTGCTGACCAAAAGGTCTGCCGTTCGAAACCAGGGAGCAGGGAGACTGTCAGCTCCAGATTCTCCAGGGAGCGGGGTGAGCTCCCATCTGTCAGCTCCAGCTTCTCATGCGAGGGCATGAGAGAAGCCTTCCAGGGGATGGTAAAACATCTGTGCACCCCCTGAGCAACGTCCTTGCAGGTAGCCAATTCTCTTACACTAGAAGTGACTTGCAGTTTCACAAGTTGCTCCTGACACACACACAAAAGTAAAAGCCATGCCCTACCTGTAAAACCTGCTCTGGCTTGAAGCATAAGAAGGGAAGATGCAGATCCAAATCGATCACCGGGCTATCGGGATCCTCCCGAGATGGGAAGATTACTTGGAGAGGTTTCATATTAAATACCTACGGGAATAACAGGCATGAGTTTCAAATTAATGTTTTGTTCACCACAAATTACATCAGAAAATTATTGATTTATTTTTTAAAGCTCAAAACACAAAGAAATAAAGCTGCCAAAGGCCACAAAAAAATATTTTAAACACACTATATACCGTATATACAAACAAAACAACTGTTGTATTGTTGTTGGATGCTTCAACTTAGTAACACCCTAAGGTGAAGCAACCACGAGTTTTTCTTGGCAGGATATTTTCGGAGGAATTTTGCCTTCGTGGCTTTCATAGCTGGGCAGGGATTTAAACCCTGAAACTTCTATGCCAGACATGGGCCACCATCAAACAATCCCTAGCCTGAACAAGGGTTGAATGAAAAGTAATGCCTCCACATTTGTTACTTGGGTTTGGATGGGAATATTTAAACAAATCAAACGCAGAAATAATCCTTAGAATGTGTTCTTTAATTACCACTATTCACTTTCCCACATAATCACCAGACAATTGGATACATTTCTGCCAACGATGAACACGTTTTCTGAAGCCGTCACGGAAGAAATCAACAGTCTGACTCACAGTTTGTTTATTTATTTACAGTATTTATATACCGCCTTTCTCACCCCTGAGGGGACTTAAAGTTTTTCAAAGCGGTTCTCTCAACATCTTCATCAGAAGCATAATGATGTCCCTGCAAGTCTTCTTTCATTATCAGTAACAGATGGATGTCAGACGGTGCTAAATCTGAACTGTATGGAGGATGCCGTACAGTGGTGAGATCCAGTCTCTGAAGTTCTTCTGTGGTGGCATGTGAAGTGTGTGGTCTGGCATTGTCATGCTACAGGAAAACATTTCCCTTTTCCTTACAGACCCTTGTTAGCCGTCGTTTCAAAGTTCACAGCGTTGTGATGTAACACTCTAAATTTATTTTTGTTCCAAGTACAAGGAAATCAACATGGATAACACCATTTGCATCCCAGAACACTATTGCCATGATTATTCCAACTGAGGGCTGTTTCTTGAATTTCCTTTTTGGGGTGAGTCTTTGTGTCAATATTCCATAGACTGACGCTTCGTAATGGTGTACCCATGTTTCGTCTCCTGTCATAACTGAATGGAGAAAGGCGTCACCTTCATTCTCGTAATGCGAGAATGGCAAATTCCTGCGCTTTCATTTCAGGCATCAGCATCCTGAGTACCCATTGTGCACAGATCTTCCGATATCCAAGCAAAGCAATAATGTGACCCACATGTTCTTGTGAAATACCGATTATGCTTGAAATTTCTCTCTGAGTAATACGACAATCATTCTGAATCAATCTGTCAACCTTTTGCGTGTGAAACTTGGTGGTTGCTTTCACAGCACGTCCAACTCTTTGTTTGTCATGCAAGTCAGATGTTCTCACCTCAACATCTTTAAACTTACTTGCCCAACGACGCACAGCACTCACATCAACACAATCACCATAAACAGCTTGCATTCTCTGATGAATCTCCTTTGGGGTGACACCTTCTGCTGTCAAGAATTCAATGACTGCACGTTGCTTAAGTCGCATTGACCCACCGTCTGCGCAGGATTCCATACTTCGCACGTTAACAACATAATTGTTCAATGCTAAGGCTTCCCACCAAAATGGAACTGTGGAGGAGAGTCTACTGAACAAGCCAGTACTTGCCGCATACCATTACTGCCATGTTTTGAGGAGTTACGAAGGTAGAGGCATTACTTTTCATTCAACCCTTGTATCAAGAGTGCTTTGATTATGCCTTCTTACATGGCAAGGGGTCCGACTGGATGGCCCTTGAGGGTCTCTTCCAGCTCTAGGATTCTATATCAGGAGTAGGCAGTACAGGGTGTCATGGATACAGTTTTCTGTCCTGCCCAGCATCTCATCCTGATCAAGGCTAACCCTTGTGAGATCCAAACGTTTCTGTCAGGTTTTACAATGCATTGTAATGTAATATAGCTGAGTCATGCACTGCTAATGGGCTTCTATTGGAAATACTGAGTCATGCATTAACTGTATATAGGGAATCATTTGGGGAATGTGTTCTGGCCTAGTCCAGGTGATTGTGAATGATGCAATCCTGGGTCTGAGTTAAGTTAATGACTTGGGAACCAATCAGAGATTGCTATGTGTAATTGTATAGAATTGTATATAAGGAAGTCATGTACAGTGTATTCTCTCTCCTTGTGCTGTGATGCTGTTCGTCGAAGGCTATATGTAATTAAAAGAACCTGTCTGCTAAGATGAGATATAACTGTATGCTGTGGTAAGTTTGTAATGTCATCTAGACTGGGGGAAAGACAATGGTAAAACTGACAATGGCTGGGCATGTGCTCAAGTGTCTGTAAAAGGTTCCAGAGTGACTGCAGCCTGTGGGAGCAGTTGAGTGAAAATACTGTGCAGGAAGAAGCTACTGGAAAGTTGTGCAACTGATCTGCTGCTGAATTGTGAAGTTAATCTCAACAGTTTCCCTGTCTTTCCTTCACTTCCTGCTTAGGGAGAACCTCTTCTCCTCCAGCCCACCCACCCCACTCCGACCTGCCATGCAGCCCCCAAGTTACAAAGTTTGCCCGTGCCTGGGTTAACATCAATGGAGAACATGAAGCATCTGTTTGATGGTGACAAAACAACCAAACTAGGCAATTCGAGAGAGGCCGCAGTATGGGGGGAAACAGCACAGAAATATCGAGAGGACGGGGAAACCAAGGACAAGAACATGTGCCAAGGACAGAACTGCATGCTCTGGTACCTTCCGAAACAAGTTGCTGCACAAAAGCTTCCAAACAACAACAAGAACAATTTGCAGGGAAGGAGAGGGGAAGGGATGATCAGCCCATCTGCCCTAAGTGACCCAAAATCCCCTCCTCAGTCTGCTCCCCTCTGCTGTAGCCAGGATAATTGACATGAAATGGCTTAAAGCAGAGGGAGATGAGGAATGCAGAGCAAAACGTGACAGCCACACAAGGCTAAACCATCTCCCTCCCAACCATCAGCATTGGAATGAATGTCAACCATAAGGTCTGCTGCTGCCACTGCATAGAAGTCTTTCCTAAAACAGAGGAAAGCCCTATCTACGTTGCCATATAAACCAGTTGCAGAATGTAGATTATATAGTAGCATAACTCATACGAGGGTGGGTCAAAAAGTTTTGCCTCCTGCATCATAAAAATGTTATAAAACAATGTTTCTCAACTTTGCTAATGCCGCAACCCCTTAATACAGTTCCTCATGTTGTACTGACCCCAAACCATAAAATTATTTTTGTTGCTACTTCATAACTGTAATTTTGCTACTGTTATGAATTGTAATTCATTGCCCTGTCCCGAAGCTTGGTCCCACAGCCAAGTTTTTACCACCCTTCTAAAGGACAAGAGAGAGGGGGCTGAAGGGAGTTTCATAGCCGGGGAGCAATCGCCGAGAAGGCCCTGCCTCTCGTCCCCACCAATTGCGCCTGTGACAATGGCGGGATGGAAAGCAGGACCTCTGGAGGATCTTAATCTCCGTGATGGTTCATAGAGGGAGATGCGTTCGGACAGGTAATTTTGTCATTTGGGAGTTGTGGTTGCTGGGATTTATAGTTCACCTACAATCGAAGAACGTTCTGAACTCCACCATTGATGGAATTGAACCAAACTTGGCACACAGAACTCCCATGGCCAACAGAAAATACTGAAAGGGTTTGGTGGGCACTGTCCTTGAGTTTTGGAATTGTAGTTCACCCACACCCAGAGAGCACTGTGGACTCAAACAATGATAGATATGGATCAAAGTTGGCATGAATAATCAATATGCCCAAATGTGAACACTGGTGGAGTTTGAGGAAAACAGGCCTTGGCATTTGGGAGTTGCAGTTGCTGATTTATAGTTCACCTATAGTCAAAGAGCAGTCTGAACCCCACCAACGATAGAATTGGGCCAAACTTCCCACACAGAACCCCCATGACCAACAGAAAATATTGTGTTTTCTGATGGTCTTTGGTGACCCTTCTGATACCCCCTCACAGCCCCCCCTCCCCCCACGGGTCCCGACTCCCAAGTTGAAAAATGCTGGTTTAACGGCTCAGGTATTTTATAATCCCTCTGTAAACCTATAAGGTGCAGCGTGCAAAGTTTCGTCCGCACATTATTTAAATTTGGGCATATGGGGTATTTGTGCCAAATTTGGTCCAGTGAATGAAAATCCATCCTGCATATCGGATATTTACATTACAATTCATAACAGTAGTAAAATTGCAGTTATGAAGTAGCAACGAAAATAATGTTATAGTTGGGGGTCACCACAACATGAGTAACTGTGTTAAGTGGTCGTGGCATTAGGAAGGTTGAGAACCACTGCTGTAAAGGGAGGAACAAGTGTAAGGAGAGGAAGTAGTAAGTGAAGAAGAGGAAAAACTATGGGAAAAATACAAGAGAAACAGGGTAAAAGGGAAGAGGAAACTGGGCTTTAGCCAATATATTTCTGAGCATCTACCAGGGGGAAAATGTTTCAAAAAAGAGAATCCAAAGGTACATTTCATTCACAAGAAAACAGGTAATTATTATGTTGTCGTAAGCTGAATAATTACCAAGTGGAGTGGTCCTGGAGGAGGGCTGGGTATTAAGGAGAGCTTGGCTGCAAATTCTTTTATATGGTCATCAACATCTAAATCCTTGTAAGGTTTCAAATGCACCAGTAAGCTGTAATGAGAAATCAGAGCAAAATGTAACTAATTATATTAGACAAAAGTTGTTTTGGTGGAACTCAAAACTATTTCTGGAAGAAACTTTATTCCTTCCAAAAAACAAACTATCGATATTTCATTTTAACTTTGCATTGGTACAATTCTGAAAGATAAATAGACCCCGTAAAATGTGTTGTTGAAGCCTTTCATGGCTGGAATCACTAGGTTACTGTGAGTTTTCCAGGCTGTATGGCCATGTTCCAGAAGCATTCTCTCCTGACATTTCACCCACATCTATGGCAGGCATCCATAGAAACTAGGCAAGTGAGTTGTTGTAGGTTTTTTCAGGCTATATGACAATGTTCAAGAGGCATTCTCTCCTGATGTTTCACCTGCATCTATGGCAGGCATCCTCAGAGGAAGTGAGCTCTATTGGAACTAGGAAAATGGGTTTATATATCTGTAGAAAGAGTTCTTTGTCGCACCCTGGTCCTTCCACAGATATATAAACCCATTTTCCTAGTTCCAACAGATCTCACTACCTCTGAGGATGCTTGCCATAGATGCAGGCAAAACGTCAGGAGAGAATGCCTCTTGAACATGACCATATAGCCTACAACAACCTAGGCAAGTGAGGTTTATATATCTATGGAATAATGTCTAGGGTGGGAGAAAGAACTCTTGTCTGTTTGAGGCAAGTGTGAATCTAGGAACCGATTAGCATTGAATGGCCTTGCAGCTTCAAAGCCTGGCTGCTTCCTGCCTGGGGGGATCCTTTGTTGGGAGTTGTAAGCTGACCCTGATTGTTTCCTGTCTGGAATTTCCCTGGGTTTTTTTAGTGTTGCTATTTATGTACTGTCCTGATCCCTCCTGGCAGGATGCAGCCAGGCTTTGAAGCTGCAAAGCTATTAAATGCTAATCAAAGTTGGGGTTTTTTTTGGTCGTGTCAGGAGCAACTTGAGAAACTGCAAGTCGCTTCTGGTGTGAGAGAATTGGCTGTCTGCAAGGACGTTGCCCAGGGGACGCCTGGATGATTTGATGTTTTTATCATCCTTGTGGGAGGCTTCTCTCATGTGTGAGGAGCTGGAGCTGATAGAGGGAGCTCATCCGCCTCTCCCCAGATTCGAGCCTGCAACCTGTCGGCTCAGGGGTTTAACCCACTGCACCACCGGGGACTAATCAAAGTGACTAATTGCAACACTCACACTTGCCTCCAACAGACAAGAGTTCTTTCTCCACCCTGGACATTCCACAGATATATTAACTTCACTTACCTAGTAGTTTCCAACAGACCTCACAACCTCTGAGGATGCCTGCCATAGATGTGGGCGAAACGTCAGGAGAGAATGCTCCTGGAACACGGCCATACAGCCCGGAAAACTCACAGCAACCCAGAGACCCATGAAAATCAATAAATTTCCTTCCACAAGTTTACAAATTCATGCAGCCAAAATTAAAATAATTTTGAAGTCCTGTGCTTTGTGCTTAACAACTACAGTGGGGAAAAATAACGTATCATTATGTACAATAGGCTCATCACAATGGAAATTTAGAAATTCAATATTCCACAGCAGTAACCAAAAACCACCAGGGATTGGGGACTCTACTGGCCCATCTACAGAAACATAGGGACCTTTCCTACCAATTTTGTTCACCTAATTCCCTTAAACGTCCCAGAAATAATTTCAAGCAAAAAAGGGCCGGGTTTAAACCGCCAGCTGAAGAAAATCTAGCCAATCAAAAGGTTGGCAGTTCAAGCTCGCCGTCAGCTCAGCTTCTGCTCACCTAGCAGATCGAAAACAGCATTTGTGAGTAGATAAATAGGTACTGCTTTAAAAGGTGCCCCAGCAATTCACTTGGGAGGACGTTTGCAAACAACAGTAAGCTCCATCGCATGGAAGATGGCGCGACAGCACCACCCAGTGGCCAGAGTCGAGCACAGCCTCCAGATGCCGGAGATAGAAAAAGATGGGAAAGTACTGTCTGTCCTTGTTCGTTATATAATGGCATTGAATGTTTGCCGTAAATGAGTCCTGTAACCCTCCCTGAGTCCTCTTGGGGAGATAAAGCAGAATATAAATAAAGTATATTATTATTTAATTGACTGGCCATTTTCCATATAGACAGCCTATTACAACTCCTTCTACGTCCCGCCTTGTAGCTTAAGATCATCCGGGGAGGCCCTGCTCTCCATCCCACCGGCGTTGCAAGTGTGCTTGGTGGGGATGAGGAACAGGGCCTTCTCAGCGGTGGCCCCACGCCTGTGGAACTCGCTCCCCAATGAGATCAGGTCAGCTTCTTCCCTCATTTCTTTTAGGAAGAAGGTTAAATCATGGCTCTGGGACCAGGTCTTTGCACAGCAAGCATGACAACACCTTGGATATTGAACCGGACTGTAATTGGCTATATGGTTGATGACAATGTTTTTAACATGTTTTTAACTTAATGTTTTATTTACTGTTTTAAACTGTTGCTATTTGTGTTTATATTTGTATTATATTGAGGCTTCAAATTGTGGCCGGTTTGTAAGCCGCCCTGAGTCTCCCCTCGGGGGTTGAGAAAGGCGGGATAGAAATATTGGAAATAAATAAATAATAATACCGGCCAACCACTTTCGGCAAAGGGTTTACTGGACAGGGACTTTTCTCACAGAGAAAGAATCAGGATTATAATAAAGAATGTTTACATACACTATTTTACACCAGGATAAGGATCATTTGAGTGATCCCATTTCGCTCCATTTGCTGTGCACATTGAGGCTGGGTTTCTGATATAACCACACCATTAGATTTCGTACCATGAAACCACTTTTTCTCCTCTACTTTATCTGATTTAAGAAGAACTCTACAGGATATATATAGTATAGAGAACAAGGACATCAAGATAAAAGTTTTACCAGTAGAGATTAGATGTTCACTGCACTGATTGATGGTAAGTTTCAGGCTATCTCTAGTTGTTTACTAGATGGCCATTTTCAATTTAGACAGAGCCATCTCCACACTGTATTGATTATGCATGGCTGCTCAGTGCTCACCCTATACTAACATCATGTGAAAAAAGCAAACTGAAAAAAAATGTTTATGAAAAATGCATTCCCTCTATTACAAAACTCATTTGAAAGAAGAAAAAAATCAACAAGTAAATGCACCTCTCATGTTGTGGGTGAAGTTATTGGCCCCCTAATACTGCTCCCAGTTTTTAGCCTTTCCTACCAAAAGGTTTAACCCCTTGGTGTCACAGCAGGTTAAACCACTGAGCTGCTGAATGTGCTGACCGAAAGGTCGGCAGTTCAAATCCAGGAAGCAGGGTGAGCTCCTGTTGTTACCCCAGCTTCTGACAACCTAGCAGTTTGAAAACATACAAATGTGAGTAGATCAATAAGTACCACTTCTGCAGGAAGGTAATGGCGCTCCATGAAGTTAGGCTGGCCACATGACCTTGGTGGTGTCTACAGACAACACTGGCTGTTTGGCTTAGAAATAGAGATGAGCACCACCCCTCAGAGTCAGTCCCAACTAGACTTAATGTCAGGTGAAACTTTTACCTTTACCTTTCCTACCAAAGAGTGCAGGGGCCTCACCCAACTACGATTCCCGTAACGCCATAGCACGAGGCCTGTCAATGGCCTCTCCGCAAGGCAAGGAAACACATCAATCACAGTCTCCTTTAAACTATCAGCTAATTTATTATACAACTATTTAAATTAGAAGCCAAGCACATTGGAAAAACTGCTTCTTCTCCATCGGTAGTTACATCACGAAGAATAGAACACGTTGTTATCAGCACTAGTCCACACCTCCTGCATTCTAGAGTGACATATGGCGTACGACACACTATGCTGCATCCATTGCTCTCTGTACTAAGATTTATGACCTCTCTAGGAATGCCAATTCTCTTCATGGTACAGTTAACCCTTTCCACACAGGAATTCTCTTGGCACATAGCATTACATTTTAAACATAAAAACTTTGAAATCTGCATTACACATTTTCAAAACACATCAACAGGGCCATAGCAGTTAAAATGGTGTGAAACTTTAATAATTTTGCAGCATAGATGCACCATAAGACCCGCTGCTGCAAGTTCCTAAAATTACAACACCCGCAAGCACGCAAATTGGTAGCATATGTACATAAAAAATAGTCCTTACCAAGAAAGGCAATCTTTCAGGGAATTAAAGTATGGGTATCTCGATATGACACAAATTGCGAATGGTAAAAAAAACGGAGCAGCTCTAGAAGTCTGTACAGCGTCCCACTGAGCCTGCCCATTGGAGATGTATCCGTCCTAAAAGAAAACTATGTTATTTTGGTTGTTCGACAAGAATTCTCAGTTTTCAAAACTCCCGCAAAATCATATATATTCACAGAATGCAGGGAATAAAATTTGCCTTAAGAAAATGTTCAAGCTACTTTAAAGATAAAATTTTATGTTGTCCAGTAAGCACAGCAATAGGCTTATGCAATCCGGGTAAGCCTTGACCCGTTTTGTGTCCTGGCTTTCGATGGGGGTCCTGATCTGCTTTTTGGGAGCCTCCTGAAATCAGGAAGGGAGATAACTGTTTTCGCTCTGGGGTGCCAAAAGATCCGTTTTCTAACGGCCCATTATGGGGACGGGGCTTCCCAGGCTCCTCTTCCCGTCGTTTTAGGCATTTAAGCTCTACCCTAGAGGAGAGACACTCAGCTGAAGGTAGGCGCATGCTTTAAGGAGGATTCTTACCTGTTTCTTAACTCTAGAGGAGACGCTCAGCTGCAGGCAGGTGCGCACACTTTCTAGGCCTGCATGCCACATGCACTTTCTAAGGCAAGGATGCAAGTATACTCTAGAAGAGGCGCTTGTCTGCAAGCAGGCGCATATGCTTTCTGGGCCTGCATGCCACACTAACTTTCCAAGACATGGAGGCAAGTTCCCTTAATCTAGAGGAGAGGAACCCAGCTGCAGGCAGGTGCGCATGCTTTCTGGGGCTGCATGCCATATGCACTTTCTAAGTTTACTCTAGAGGAGGCGCTTGGCTTCAGGCAGGTAGGTACGCTTTCTGAGCCTGCATGCCACACTAACTTTCCAAGGTAAGGAGGCAAGTTCCCTTACTCTAGAGGAAAGGCGCTCAGCTGCAGGCAGGCGCACACACTTTCTGGGCCTGTATGCCACATGCACTTTCTAAGGCAAGGAGGCGAGTTTATTCCAGAGGAGGCACTCTGCTGCAGGCAGGCAGGCAGGCATGCATGCTTTCTAGGCTTGCATGCCACATGCACTTTCTAAGGCAAGGAGGCAAGTTTACTCTAGATGAGGCACTTGGTGCAGGCAGGCACGTATGCTTTCTGGGCCTGCATGCCACACTAACTTTCCAAGGCAAGGAGGCAAGTTCGCTTACTCTAAAGGAGAGTGTAGTGAACTCATACCTTTGCTTCGTAGGCCGCAGCCTGGGAGTCAGTGAGCAGGCCTCCATGTTGGGAGGATGCTCAGGATAGCTGACATGTTGGGAAGGGCAGAGAGGCAAGGGGAGGAGTCAGCTAACTCCTGAATGGCTCAGACCCCTAGGGAAGGAGTTGAAGGAGTGTGTAAAAAGGCTGTACTTTCTGTCAGAGAGAGAGAAGAATGATTTGATCTAGAAGGGAGACATGGTTTTGATCTAAAAGAGAGAAGAGGGATTTGATCTGAAAGAGATAGGATTAGGATTTTCAGGCAGGGAGAAGAGAGTTGCTGAGTGAGTTAAGAATTAGACTGATAGGGAATAATAGAGGGCAAGTGCTTCAGGGTACTTTGGCTTGGGTAGTCAAAGTGAAGGCTTGTTGACTTGTATTGAGAGAGAATACAAGGGGGTTTATTTCCCTACAGTGCAGAGTAGTCTAGAAGGAACCTAGTTACTCTTGCAGGCAGCAAGGGTGGCTGGTCTAAGAAACACACTGTTACTTGTTATAGGGATAGTGTGAGGAAAGTAACTCACGCCAAAGAAAAGTTACTCCTTCTTAAGCAACCATTTGTTTTATTAGTCTGTGCCTCAGAAACCAACTACGCATATGTACCACTCAGTAATGAGTTGTCTGTTTCAAATATTTCAATAAACCTGTTCCCTAGTTTACTTTTAATCTGCCTCAGCCTTGTTTTGTTATATAAAGCTAGATTCAGTCAGCCTCTACATCTCTGCAGTCCAGTCACAAGAAAGGGAGCCAAAAAGAAGAACCGGTGTATAGGGACATTTTACCTCAAGTATATCATCTAGTTAATTCCTCAATCAGAAGTTTGAGGTGGTGGCAGCATACCTACCATATACACACACCTTTCTCTCTCATCACCTGTGTGTAACACCCTCGCATATTCCTGTCACACAGGAGCAATAAGAGACCCTGATCCCTTAACACCCTTTACAGAGAGGCACTCAGCTGCAGCCAGGTACATGCGCTTTCTGGGCCTGCACATCATTTGTGAGCAGCCTCCAAGGCAAGGAGGCTGCTCACGAAAAGCAACCGAGGAGCTAGGATCGGCTCCAGCTTGCTTTTGTGTTGAACTGATTTTTTTACCGGGAGGGGGCTTCCCTTTATGTGCTCCAGAAGGTAATGAAAAAAATTGATGTAAGGAAGGAAAATGGATCCATGGCCCATGAGGTCTCTTCCAACTCTATGATTCTATGATTCTATGATATGAAAAATCAACACACTGCTGCATTTGTCAGGAATCTTCTGTGATTATGATTATTATTCTGTTTCTATAATATCCCACTTTTTCTCTCCACAAAAGGGACTCAAAGCGGCTTACATTAAAAACATTTCAATGTGATTTTAAAATGTACAAATATTAAAACATAATTAAATATCCTTAGTATTATCCTTAGTATTAAAAACAATTCAGTTAAAAACCATAACAAATATATTCAAAATTAAAAAACATTCATGCTTATGAGCTCTATTCTTCAGAGTGCTATGCTCTGAACTGCAATCTGATGTAACATAAAGTGCAAGGAGTAAACTATTTTAGGAATGTTATGTTTTGCTTAAAAGCAACTCAACCTTTTGAACAGTTTCAGTGGAATGTGGCAGAATAAACATACTTGCATAGGCTGGTAATACTGTGCAACTACGCCATACGTTCTGTTGCCAAAGACATCCGTGAAAACCAGAAAATGGAACTGGTCTTCCCTGGATTCACCCGTTATGTGAAATCCTCCTGCAAGAAAAACAGACAGGAAGCATTTATAGAACGATCCCTGGGGCCAATTAACTATCCCTCACAAACAAAACTATTTGCAAGACTGATGAAAAGGATTTCATTTGAATTCTACCAAAATCATGACAGGTGTCTTAGGAGAAATATTAAAATGAACATATATTTCCAAGAATCTATGACGCGGCAATAAAAGCCGCACAGAAATCCTTTCTTGTGGCCAATATTGCGTCCGCAAAAAACCGTCTGGCTGAGCTGTTTCGAGTTGTCAGAGGGCTGTTAAATCTGCCTTAGAGTGAGATCCCTGACAACTCAGCAGCTCACTATGAAGCATTTGCTCAGTTCTTTGCGGACAAAGTCGCTCTGATCTGTTCTGACTTCGATGCCACGTTAATGGCAGTCTCTGAGGATGTAACACAAGCATCTGCTTGTCCGGTTTTGATGGATTCATTTCGATTGCTTACTTATCCAAACGTGTCTCCCTCTATGTTTCACCTCATAGTCTAAGATCTGCTGGAAAGGCCCTGCTCTACATCCCACCCTCTTTGCAAATGCATCTGGTGGGTATAAGGGACAGGGCCTTCTCGGTGGTGACCCCCTGCTTGTGAAATTTGCTCCCCAGCAAGGATAGATCGGTGTCCTCCTTGCTTTCCTTCAGGAAAAAAACTAAAATCGTGGTTATGGAACCAGACCTTTGGCTACTGGGTGTAGCAGCACTTTGAACATGGAACTGGTCTTGATGACTGTTATTATAATTGGAAAATGGATATGTGATTATGTGATTGTGTGATGATATAACTAATTGTTACTGTTTTTAACTTTTTATGTATTTATGTTTTATACTGGTGTTTTGTTATTGTGGCATCAAATTGCTGCCTATGTTAGCCGCTCTGAGTCCCCCCTCGAGGGTTGAGAAGGGCGGGGTAAAAATGCTGCAAATAAATAAATAAATAAACATATGTACAATGTGATCAGTTGTATCAACTCACTAAGATCATTTAAAATGATCTTTCTTTATCCATGTGGACAAATTCCTTCAGCAGCTCACAAAGTGAGAGCGCACTCCAAACTCTGTCTCTCTCTGCTTTTCTCTTCTTAATGTAACAGTATCCAAAAGTCCCAGACTCAGACTGCTCCCAGGGAATTGCCCGCCCAATCAGTTTCATGCATCTTATTTTACAGTTGACACACACACTGATTACAGTTGACACACACACTGATTCACTTGAGCAGAAATACGTTGTGAAAACTTAAAACACACACATTACCTGGAAAGCAAAGCTGTGGCAATCCATTAAGGTCAACATCTTTAGGAATAGTAATATCTTCAGTCTCAGGAGCCTTCTGGCTTCCTCCGTTCAGAATTCTTGTGTTTTCAATCTTATTTTTCTCTTTCTTCTTTCTAAAGGAGCGACGCTTGGCTTTATTGAACGCATTACTGTTTATATGTGTTGTTTCCAATTCCTGCTTGCTGATAAACGGAGGTACGAAAACAGAAAGGACTTCCGGTTCAAGGGAAGGAACGCTCTTCACATCTTTCTTCTGAGAAGCCTAGAAACAATTGAAATAATTTTCATCTTATTTTGTTCCTACAGAGCAGTTCAAAGTCAACACTGATGATTTTTTTATTCTGCAGTCATTTGTTACAATGGTTCAAAAAGTTATCACTATTAGTGTTCCCGGATTTTTTGAGTACTCACTGTTTCGCGGTTTTTCTCCTCCCTCCTTCTATCTCTCCTCCTTTCCCTCCCTTTTGTCCTCCTCTCCTTCGCCTACCCTCTGCCTGTCTTTCTTCCAGGTGGGTTGGGAGGGAGGAGAGGGGACCCACGTGACATCACAAGAACAATCTGGTGCAGGAGGATTATAATTATATATATACACACACACACACACACATACGGTTCTGGCCCCACTTACCTCTCCGAACGCATCTCCACCTATGAACCGACTAGGATATTAAGATCGTCCGGAGAGGCCCTGCTCTCGGTCCCGCCTTGTCACAAGCACGTTTGGCGGGGACGAGAGACAGGGCCTTCTCAGTGGTGGCCCCTTGGCTATGGAACGCCCTCCCTAGGGAGATCAGAACTGCTCCCTCCCTCTTGATATCTCGGAGGCAAGTTAAAACGTGACTATTCGAGCAAGCGTTTACAAATACAGAGTAGCTAATACAGGAAATTGAATGACCTGACAATGGAATTGGACAATGCTCGAGAATAATGAGATGCTGATGATGTTGCTTTTATTGCTTTTGTGATGTCTTATACTGTTTAATGTTTTTTATCTATATTATGTTTTATGTATACTGATTTGTTGGAAACCGCCTTGAGTCGCCAATTGGCTGAGAAAGGCGGTATACAAATACAGTAAGTCATGCCGGCCACATGACCTTGGAGGTGTCTACGGACAACGCTGGCTCTTCAGCTTAGAAATGGAGATGAGCACCACACCCCAGAGTCAGACATGACTGGACTTAATGTCAGGGGACTACTTTTTATATATATACATACACACACACACATAGTGTCTACTTCGCGGATGTTCACTTTTCGCAGGTTCGCGGGTGGTCCTGGAATGTAACAGCCGCGATAAGTGAAAAAACACTATACTTCTTAACTTTGCAAAATTATCAGAATGGCATGGCATAGCATGGCATCTCCATTTCCATTTCGTTTCCACGAGAAAACAGAGAGAACATAAAGTTAATGTATCAATTCTTTGCATGCCTAACTTCCTATACATCGCAATGGACCAAATGTAATTTACCCCACACATTCTAAAGGACAGATAATTGTATAACTGTTGTATTAAGGAGAATTACTTCTGCCCTTTCTATCCAGATCTCCAGTCTTAGGGCTTAATGTTAAATCAATATCCGTATGGGAAGCCCTGGCCCTTGAGAACTCCAACTGGAGGTCAGCTGTGACCAGCAGTGCTGCAAAATTCTAAGAGGCACGAACAGAGGGGAAAAGGGAGAAATGTGCCAAGAGGAAGGTACATCAAGCCAACCCTGACTGGGGCCGCCTTCCACCTGGAACCCAATGTCCTCACTGCGGGAGAAGATGCGGATCAAGAATAGGGCTTCACAGCCACCTACGGAGCCGCCACCACGACACCACATCTGGAAGACCATCATCCTCGAGCTACGAGGGATCGCCTAAGTAATTAAGTAAGTAAGATGGTGTGTAGCTGGATGCAGACGAGCCTCACAAAGCCAAAATGCAAGAAGGGTAACACAAGTGAAACAGATCTTCCATAACAGGAAGGAGACTGGACGGAAGTGTTCCTACAACTTCTCACTTGAGATTAAGTCATGCTGACAATGCTTTAGCATCTCTCTTGCATAGACTACTGCAACGCTCTCTATGTGGGGCTGCCCTTGGAGACGACCCGGAAGATTTCTAACTGCAGCAGCTGTTACGTCAGCTCCACTGGCTGCCAGTCCACTACTGAGCTGAATTCAAAATGCCGGTCTTATTAATTTATTATTTATGTATTTCCAACATTTATACCCTGTCCTTCTCAACCCCCAAAGGGGGAGTCAGAGCAGCTTTCAACAGCAGCAATTCAATGCCGACAACAACAACAACAACAACAACAACAACAACAACAACATAATAATAATAATAATAACAACAACAACAACAACAACACACACAATCCTAGACACTTGGGAAGTGTCCGACGTGTGACCCAATACAATAGCCAGCAGAGTGATCTTGTCTGCTGTGGACTCATCTTGTTGTGTTTCAAATAATAATAATAATAATAATAATAATAATAATAATAATAATAATAATATTTATACCCCACCACCATCTCCCCAAGGGGACTCGGGGCAACTAACATGAGGCCAAGCCCAAAAAAACTACAATGAGGCAAAATAAAATACAGACAAGAAATAATAACATCAAATACAGTGCAAACAATAAAATAAAATAATACAATAAAATAAACACAAAATATATGATAAAAGAATTGAATACAGTGGGCTGGGCCAAATGCAAAGGAAAGAGATAGAGAAATACAACATACAAACCACATTACGTACAACGTTATACAAAAGATAAAAGATTAGATTAAAATGCATTTTAAAACATTATTATTCATCATATAGCCAAATCAAAGTCAGATTTAACCAACAACCCAGTCCAAAGCATGTCATAGATAGTCTTCAAACATTATGATTACTGCCAAACCTACTGTCTGAATGTCTGGTCCCAAAACCATGTTTTGAGCTTCTTTCTGAAAGAGAGGAGGGATGGGGCTGACCTAATTTCACTAGGGAGATAATTCCACAGGTGGGGGGCCAACACCAAGAAGGCCCTGTCCCTTGTCCCCGCCAAACACATTTGTGAAGAAGGTGGGACCAAGAGCAGGGCCTCCCCAGACTACCTTAAATTCCGAGGCAGGATGTAGAGGGAGGTATGTTTGGACAGGTAAGCTGATCTTGGCCTTGAAAGCCCTATACAATTCTGATCCAACTTCTTGGCCTTTAAAGACCTATACGGTTCTGATCCAACTGTGAATCAGGACATTTTTTTCCATGTCAAAAGCGACTTGCAGACAGCCAATTCTCTCACACCAGAAGCGACATGCAGTTTCTCGTCACTCCTGACACCAAAAAAAACCTTTCTTAAATTCAACAATGAAAAACACATTCATCCCTATCACCCAAGCCCCACAATTAATAATATTATAAAATACACCTATGTACAGTCACATACATTACACATCATCAAATCAGCGGAAATCACCCGTCATCTAAATATTATGTTGGTTACTGGTTGTTCCAGTTTCATAAAGCATTAATATCATAAAGCAAAAACTGCAATAGTTTAACTGGAGATTCAACACTCAGTCCTTGAAAATATCAAACAGAAGAGATTTCTCAATGTCAATGGACCAGTATTCCTCAGGGAAAACAGACAAATCTCTTGGGAAGACAGGTGGACAAATGTCAGCGTACTGGAAGACATAAAGGCCACCAGCATTGAAGCAATGGTCCTACGTCATCAACTCCACTGGACTAAATGCCACATTATCCGGATGCCCGATCACCATCTCCCAAAGCAGTTACTCTACTCCGAACTGAAGAATGGAAAACAGAATGTTAGTGGACAGGAAAAGAGATTTAAAGATGGATTTAAAGCTAATCTTAAAAACTGTGGTATAGACATGGAGAACTGGGAAGCCCTGACCCTTGAGCGCTCTAACTGGAGGTCAGCTGTGACCAGCAGTGCTGCGAAATTCAAAGAGGCACAAATGGAGGGCAAAAGGGAGAAATGCATGAAGAAGAAGGCATGTCAAGCCAATCCTGACTGGAACCACCTTCTACCTGCGGAAGAACATGCGGGTCGAGAATAGGGCTCCACAGTCACCTACGTCAAGACACTACACATAGAAGGCCATTGTACTCAGACAACGAGGGAAGTAAAAAAAAATTCTCAGTTAGTACACATATGAAAAACGAGGTTTGGATGGCTGAATCTGTCTCACATCAGACTGGATCTTGCTAGACTTTATAATTCTTAGAAAGAAAGCTCTTCTTCACACAACTAATTTTGGCATGAGATATGACGATGCTTACTGGCTTTGGTGACTATAAGAGAATTCATGCAGAATAGGTCTATAAATGGGAATTAGACAAGAAACCAGATAGAATATCCATATTCAAAGTCAACATGGCACTGATTAGATGTTAGAAAACAGTAAAAGGGAAAACTAAATGCCAACTTAAGGATATAATGAAAACATATGGCTAAACACTGCATGAAAAGAAAGATGGTATGTTCCAGTTGTAGTACTCCAGGCCTGGAATCACCTATGACCACAGTACTACACAGCAGTCCAGAATATAAACAAACAGTTTATTGTAAAAACACATAAAAAGTATATGAAAAAAAACAGGAATAAAGAAAGAAGATGTATAATTCAAAAAAGGTTTAACAACAGGTGATAACCAAACAGGAATCCAAATCCAAATACAGATCCAAAGGTAACACAGTACAGGAATAGCCAAAAATCACAAGTACAGCATAAGCAAAATGTATACTTAGTGAAACTTGAGCAGACATACCAAAACAAGGACATAGAAAACTTCCAGGATACTTAAATCCAAAACCAAGGCTTGAAACAAGAACCAGAGAATTCAGGCCTAGCTTCTCACTCAAACGCTATGTTGCCTGAACTAACTCTTAGGCAAACAACTTGCCATTTGAAAGATACCCATGAAAGCATTCCATTTCCCATGAATTTTCTCCACAACTTTCCCACGTAATCGATCTGATCTATGATGCCTATTTTCTGATCTGATCTGTAAACTAAGACTTTTGTTGATCTCCGTAACTTCAGATGTTTTCATTTAGCTCAGTGGTTCTCAACCTGGGGTCCCCAGATGTTTTTGGCCTACAACTCCCAGAAATCCCAGCTGGTTTACCAGCTGTTAGGTTTACCAGCTGGGAGTTGAAGGCCAAAAACATCTGGGGACCCCAGGTTGAGAACCACTGACGTAGCTCCTCGCACAACTATTTATCTAATGTTGCAGTTTCTGGCTCCTCTGACTGAGCTTGAAGCCCTGGCTTTTTGAGTCAGGTTTCCCACAGAGAGAATCATCATTTCCCTGACTTGAATCTTCATCACTTCATCCCACAGGAAATCCCACAATCTTTTCTAAATCATCAGCTTCATGCTGATCTACAACACCAGCAGACCTCCTTATGTTCTGTCCAGAAAACAAAACAATAGTCATGTATTCCATGAAGATCTCTTTTTCTTCAAATACTTCCTAAAGAATGCTTAATAGAGGATATGAATTCTATTAGTGTCCCCCAAAGACATAATTTGTTTTCTTATAACAACTAGAAAATACGCGGAAATACAGATAAACTCAGACAAGGGGAGAAACCACTAACTACACTGGAAACTCGATGAAGCAATCTTAAAACTATTCCATGTTCAACAGCTGCTTCCGTGAAACATCAAACATCTTCCTCTTGCTACTAAGAGATTTCTTTTTTTTTTCAGTCTTATGCAAAGCATGGTGAGTAATAAGTGTGTGTATTTGTGTATGTGAAAAAAACCACTATCCCTTGAGTTGATAATTAATACAAAACTAGAAATGATTATGGTGTAATAGGTGTTAGAATGGGCAAGAAAATGGCTAGGAGGTTGACCACATGTTTTCATTAGCGTCAGAAAGTGAATCAGATAAGAAGTAAGATAGTTTTCAGTAATGATTTCAGTAAGAAATGCTAGGCTTAGCAATGGACAAGAGGGATGGGTTGTAAGTTTTCTGGGCTGTCTGCCCATGTTCCAGAAGCATTCTCTCCTGACGTTCCACCCACATTTATGGCAGGCATCCTCAGAGGTTGTGAGGTCTGATGGAAACTAGGCAAGTGGGATTTATATATCTGTGGAATAATGACCAGAGTGGGAGAAACAATTCTTGCCTGCTGCAGGTAGGTGTGAATGTTTCAATTGGCCACCTTGATTAGCATTTAATAGCCTAGCAGTTTCAAGATCTGGCTTCTTACTGCCTGAGGGAATCCTTTGACATAGGGTTCCTCTCACCTCTGCAGGAGTCTACTGTATACAATGCAGCTGTGCACAAGTCTTGGCACGAATACTCACTACATTTTATGTACATGCGGTCCACCCTTTGTCTTTCTGTCATTATGCTTAGTTCCTATGTTTCTTGTATATTGTTTTATATGCTTTAATGTTTTATATTTTAATGTTATGTTGTTTATTCTATTGCAATTTGTATTGTTATACTGTAATTCTTGTTCGTGCTTGGCCCCATGTAAGCCGCTCCGAGTGCCCACTGGGGAGATGGTGGTGGGGTACAAATAAAGTTGATTATTATTATTATTATTATTATTATTATTATTATTACTACCTGCCTCTTCTCGAGGTGGGTTACAGAATAACTGAAACACATAAACATTGTAAACATTCTATAAATATACATATTTACATCTGACTATAAACTATTTCAATCTCACAAACTCAAGGAGAATTCTACCTCAAATTTTGAGGAAGAGAATGGCCCTCCAGAAGTACATGGACTGCAACTCCCATCATCCCTCAACCTGGATGGTGCCAATGGAGTTTGAAACCAAGAATACATGATGGGTCATACATTCCACATCTTTGACCTGATCCTTGACTGGAGTCCTTCGATCCAATGGAGTACCCAGCCATAGTCTGGGTTTAGACTTCACCTCACAGTGAACAACTTTCCCTGGGCACAAGAAAGTGCTGAGAACCACTGTGGAACAACCGACTGAGAGTGGGATTTCTGGCTAGCCTTGAAGGCCACCGTTTGTGTCTGAGCGAACGATGCTCTCTCGTCCAAAGAAACTTTCAAATAAAGTGGAAGCAGGTGCTAGATCTGAGAAGCCATTCTCTGGACTACAACTATCTATATAGTCCATTGCCAGTAGAACTATTGCTGAGATGGTGGACAAGTTCAGAAACAATTCAGCCGCACCTTGTGCGCCACCACTCACTTGTGCGTCATCCCTTTGTGAGGAGTGCTGATCACCTGGTCGTAGGTCAGGATATGATCCAGAGGGAATTTCCTCTTGATTAACCTTCCAGTGGTTCCAGGTTCCTCCCTATAAACCAACTGAAAGAGAAGGGATTAAGAGCAGTTGATTCAGGCCTCTTCAACCCTCCTGCTGTTTGGGCCAGCAACTCCCAGAAGCCCTTCAATAGTCAATGGTTAGGAATTCTGGGAGTTGGAGGCCCAAAGAGCTAATCATAGAGAGAATCTAAGGGTTCCCAATAAATAATAATAATAATAATAATAATACTTTATTTGTACCCCGCAACCATCTTACATAAGGCCGAGCCCAAAACACAACAATACAAGTAATAATAACAACAATACAAGCAATTAAAAAACATAGACCATAAAATATACAACATTATCAATAAGACAACACACAATTAAAAACAGTGGGAAGGCCAAATGTAGAGTTAAAATTGGAAATAATGCTGGGACATGGACGAAAGGTGATACTGGTGTTTGTGGAAGGGCATACGAGCAGACCTAAAGAAATGTAAAGTGCTTTGGAGGACAAAGTGTGTAGGAACATTATTCCGGGAAGGCACACTGGAACAGCCACATCTTCAAGCTCCTCCTGAATACTGCCAGAGTTGGGGCCTGTCTGATATCTTTAGGGAGTGAGTTCCAGAGTGGCCACCACCGAAAAGGCCCTCTCTCTCGTTCCCACCAATCGTGCCTGCAATGCTGGTGGGATCGAGAGCAGGGCCTCTCCGGATGATCGAAGGGATCGTGTGGGTTCATATACAGAGATGCGGTCACAATATTCACACAATACAATATAATCCAAAACTCCTACTCTTTTTATTTGTCCAGGGACAGCAGAAGCAAGAGCAAGCATGTAGTCTCTTCTCAGAGCGGGCAACACATTTCCCAGCCATTTCTTGGGCCTCTCTCCCAATCCCTGTTAACACAAGTTGTGTGGGTGCAGTACTTGTTGTTCGATGCACTTTAGTTGGGAATTGTTTACTGAGGGCAATGAAGAATGAAAAATGGAGAAACATGGGGCCAGCATTTGTGGTTTGGTGACAGCAGTCACATGGCGATTGAGCTCAACAGCAGCCTGATCAGAAGGCTCAATGTGAAAATGCTCTCTGAGATATCCAAGGGCCACAGTGACAAGGAGAGGGCTGATCTCAGAATCGGCAAAAAGGGAACAGATGCCGATAAGAGCAAAACTTCAGCTTGGCTCATACATATCCCAGTGCTGAGAGAAAGAGGCAGATGAAGCCATGATTGTGAGTTACTGTACTCCTTGAATGTCTCTGTTGTCAGATTCTCAGTATTTAGGTTCCTAGACATCAGGCTATGATCATAATGAGAAGGAAAAGTCAAAGGTGCATCACTTGGTCACCAATAAAAGGAATTAAGTGTGTTAAGAGAAAGAAGGGCTGCAACAATGGCTTTGGGAGAGCCGGTCCTCCATTGCCTTCCTCTGGAGTTCAGAGAGTGCCAGTTGACCTTGGCTCACCTATGGTGGGTTTCCATAGGCGAGCCAGGATCTGAAATTCTCATCTCCAAGAGTCCTGTTGATACTGTTATCAGGACTCTCATGCTGTTTCTTACTACCATAGTTCCACTTGAACTTCTAACTGTCACAAACACACCGGAGACACCCACCTCTTGCATCCCATCCTTGTCAAAGAAAACCGTGACTATAGCTTGAGTGGCATTCAAGTCGTGATCCGGTGAGCCTTCCATCACTTGCAGGGTATTGTACAATGACCAGGCTTCGGATGGATACGCTCTTTTGATCTCTGTGCTGCTTTCTTTCATAACCCAGATCTTGAATTGAAGGGTGGGAAGAGAGAGAGAAATGCGCAACTAAAATCTGGTTGACATTTATTTTAATCCCCCATCCCCTCAATTCTTTTTTTGCTGTAGTCACTGATAGAAAAAATAAACACAACAAACAACATCATGAGTAACAGAACAAAGGTAATACTACAAAATGGAAGCCTGTAAGACGTTAGAAATGAGCTACTTTGTATAAAAAAAAACTTTCAGAGCTAATTAGACTGAGAAGAAAAGCATGGTCCTGGTCCACCATATTTTCAGAGATCACTCAAACAGTATCATTTGTTAACAAGGGACTACACTGAAGAAATGATTCTAAGCCAAATCACTTTGGCGGAAAGGAAAATAAATGTACGTACCTCATCTGCGTCTGTCACAAAAGCAATGTGGCCAGTAAAGGACATAACAAAATATTTGATGGAATAGTCGCCCGGAAAGTTAGACAAATATACATAGCTCACCATGTCATTGCTGTCAAGAAATATCAAGTAAGGAAAGTTTATGTTATTGCTTTAAAATTTTAAATTGCTCAAGTAAAGCATTGCTCTTATGTGCCTTCAAGTCACATAACATTTCCTGCTTCACAGGAAATCTGCTACAAAACAGGAGCTTTTTTGTTGCGTTTTAGGGTCAGAGAAGCAGATGGCGAAAACAGAAGAATGGCCTTTCTCAGGATGCCGTGCTTGCTCAATCAATGTTCAACATTTACACAAATGATCAGTGACTGCCAGGAGGGACAGAGAGTTTCATCTATGCTGACGATCATACCATCACCGCTCAAGCAGCAAGCTTTGAAATGGTTAAACAGAAGCTCTTTGAAGCTTTAGGTGCTCTTACTGCATATTACTGGGAAAACCAGCAAATTCCTAATCCATATAAAATGCAGACATGTACTTTTCACCTTAGGAACAGACAAGCATCTTGAGCTCTGAGGATTACCTGGGAAGGAATCCCCCTGGAGCATTGAAGCACACCCAAATACCTGGGAGTTACTCTGGATCATGCTCTGTAATGTAATGTGTTTTTAATTACATTACAACTGTACCCTCAATTCACTTCTGACGCGATAAATATATAATTCATTTCCGACTTACGGTGATTTTCTCCTGCCCTCGAGTCTAGTCAGGGGCTACTGTGGTTTTTAGTTCTGAATATGTTTTTATGGATTTTAACTGATTTTTTAAAAATACAAATGATATTTCTTTCTGTTTTAATGTTTGTATATTTGTATATTTTAAATTGTATGGAAATGCTTTTAATTTACACCACTTTGAATCTCTTGGTGGGGGAAAAGTGGGATAGAAATAATTATATTTTTTATTTAAAAAAAAGGACTCGGGGGAATGGGTTCAAGCTACAGGAAAGGAGATCCCACCTGAACATTAGAAAGAGCTTCTTGACCACGAGAAGAGCTGTTCAACAGTGAAACTCACTGCTTTGGAGCGTGGTGGAGGCCCCTGGAGTCTCCTCCAACTCGATTATTCTATTATTCTAAGGCTAAGGTATCACGAGGCATTCTTGGCAAGAGTTGTTCAGAGGGAGAGAAGGGTTGCACGTCCCTCCCTCTGAGGATGAGAGAGTGTGGCTTGCCCAAAGTCACTCAGTGGGTTGCTATGGCCAAGCAGAGATCTGAACCCTAGTTTCAAGTCATAGTCCAAAATCACTAACCCAAGCTGATTCTAAGGGGCGGGGGGGATTACAACAGACTCTCCTCCCATGATTCTACCTCCTATTGAACTAAAGATCAGCCATGAGCCTAGAGCAGGGCCTGGGACTGGCTCTAGACAAACATGTTGGGGTCTGCAGGACAGGAGTGTGAAGCCGCAGCCACGTGGATGGGCTCCCCACTCTGACTGCAGCCTCCGTTTGAGAACATTATTCCTGTTACTAAAAAAGGATTAAGGTACAATATTGAAATGGGAAGCCACCCGAGATCACATTCAAATCAGCATGTTTTGGGCAGCAGGCCTTACCTTTGCAAGATAGCATTCCCCCAGACGTAGAATATCTTACTGAAGGGGTTGAAAGCCAAACCTACGGGGGTGAATAATCGAGTAGTATATTGCTCCGTCCCCAGCAACAGCACGTATCCTCTGTCTGAGACAGCTAAGGGGAAAAGACAACAACAACAAAGACAAGGAACCACAAAAGTTTTGCAGTGCAATGAGTTACAGAGGATAGCAGGGAGCAGAAGAGATGCAGCGGAGGTGACTGCCTCCCCCTCCCCCCACCAGTGTTGGGCAATTTCAAAAAGGAAACAGCATTTCCAAAGGAAAGATGCAACAACAGCAGCAGCAGTTTTGCACATCAGATGCTTCTTGTGTTAGCAGTAGAGCAAATAAGCTTCGGCAATTTATTCAAACACTTTATTCAAAGAACTACACTTCTAGATAAGAAAGCAAAGGCCCTTGTTATCTAGCCATGTAAATCACAGCTGACATCTTCTCTCTCTCCATGCTTACAGGAGAAGAACTAAATGGAGGACTCAGGAGCTTGCCATGTGCTCAGGAAAAAGAGGCGTGTCCCTGAGAAGTATCAGTCTAACAGTCAGGGAATCGAAGGAAAAAACAGAGTGAAATGCAAGCCAATGGGGAAGGGCTTTTCCTGCCAATAAACCCATCTGCCTATCTCTTGATGAGGACCATAAACTTGTGCAGGATGTGGTTGAGTTCCAACACTTTCCATACGTCAGACTTTTTTTTTGAAACAAGAGTGTTACTGGACACTCAGTGTTCATCTCTTCCCTACCCCATCCCCACCCCAAATACAAACAAGCAATTGCAACAACTTTGGATACCTATATGATTTGCAGGGAGGTGTCAATGGATGTAAGTCTTTTAAATGTAACAATAGACTCTGACCTGTCACGAGATGCTGTGGTTCTTACCTTTCGGTATATATTCAGGGAGTTCAAAAATGATCTTAAGATAATTATCTGAAAATTGAATAGAGAAAACCACAATAAGATGTGCAATAAAGACCCACATTTGTAGCCTGTACTTCAGTCACTAGCTACTTCTTTGGGTCCTACCCAACCTCATGTTTCACAACTTCTCACTCACTGTACACATACACCTTTGCTGCCTTACAAGTGCTAGAGCAGTGGTTCCCAACCTGTTTTTTTTAAAACCAGGGACAACTTGACCAGGGTTCATTTCTCCAGGGACCACTTTGACCAGGGAACATTTGACTATGGGCCACTTGACTATTTCATTTATTGTCAAAGGCTTTCATGGCTGGAATCATTGGAGTGTTGTGTGGTTTTTGGGCTGAAGAGGTTGAAAGTCAAACCTCCGGGGATGAGGATTCGGATCATACACTGCTCTGTCCCAAGCAACACCACATATGCTCTATCTGAGGCAGCTTCTTCTTCTTCTTCTTCTTCTTCTTCTTATTATTATTATTATTATTATTATTATTATTATATTTATACCCCGCTTTATCTCCCCCGAAGGAGACTCAAAGTGACTTAGCATAAAAGAATTAGTGAAAGGGCGGAGCATGCAAGTTTGCTGAGCAGTCTGCTGAAAGCTCCTCCATCAAAAAAGTAAGTTAAAAATAACTCACCCGAGTTCTAATTCGATTGGGATGGACTCACAGCTTAGCTAATATATCAAGAAACAAAAACAAAACTTAATGTCTTCCTACCAAGAAAAGAAAAAGAAAAAGGCTGGGAGACAGAAAGAGACTGATTAGCAATCTCCAGTTTCCTGTTGAGGCAGCCTGGAGATGTGTTGCTATTTTGGATGAACTCCAGCAGCAGAGAATCCAGATTAAAAGAAGAACAGAAAACAGAAAAAAAAAACAGCTGAGCAGAGGTGGGAGCGCCGTTCTTTATCTGTTTTACTCATTAGGTTATAAGTCATCTAGAGATGGCCTCAGAAGCCCCTGAAGCTCCAATTTCCACAGATAACATAGGAAAAAAGCTCGACCTTCTGGTGGAAATGATTAAAGGGCTCAAAGGCTCTATGGAAGTTAGAGAGATAAGACAAAAGATGAGTGAAATAGTATCAAAGGAAGTAAAAAATCAAGCCAGGATCCAGTCACTAGAACTGGAAATTAATTATTTGAAATCAATGGTGGTGGCTCTAGAAAACCATTCCAAACGCAGACATTTTTGCTTACAAGGGATTCCTGAGTATATAAAAGACAAAGACTTGATTAACTCTCTGTGTGAGTGGTGGAACCAATGGGACATATCAGCTGGAGAAGAAGATAGAGCATACAGACTTTATCCTCAAAAGAGGGAGGGGGGGGGAGAATCACAAAGGCACCACACCAAGAGTGGTAACAGTGACATTTGTTAAAGAATCAACATGCCTAAAGGTTTTCAAAGCCTTGAGGAGTGTGAATGATCTGCAGTTTAACAGTAATAAAATCGCAGTTTTCCAGGACTTAGCAAGAGCTACAAGGGAGGAGAGAGCCTCCCTCAAGGACATTACGGTCAGCAGACGTCAAATACACATGGGCCTTTCCAGCCACACTAATCATTTTCAGAGAAGGAAAAAAAAACTTACTGCAAAGACTATAGAAGAAGGGGAAATGCTCCTGAAAGACTAAAACCTGATCCAACTCTCACAGAGAAAATCTTCAAGAGAAACAGGAGTCCCAACAGATGAAGAAAAAGTGTCTGAAACAGAGGAAGAACGTCCAACTAAAGAGAAGATCGTCCAACTAAAGAAGTAACCACAAGAAAAAGACCTGGAAAACCTTGTTCAAAGATCTCCTATAGAATTCCTAACAGAAGAAATTTCAAATAACTATACATAATGGACTGTTTCTATAGCTGGGTTTAAAGAAATGCTTATTGGTACCGGCAAAGACATTCTGTAGGGATTTAAAGGACCAGAGCAATCACAACCAGCAAAGACAGGAATTTTTTTTGTCTTAATTGCTAATATAATTTAAATTAGTTTAGTTTTAGTTTATTTGATGCTTAGACCATAGGTCTTTCACATACAAGGCAAGGCAAATAAATAAATACATGAACACCAGATTATTAAATACAATATAAAATACACAATAAAATCCTATAAATCATCAAAATGCTACATATACCAATGGCAAGATGCACCTTTAAAATACTACATAATGTATAGACTCACACCTGCGTAATTAAAAACCAAGTAAAAGCAAATAGATACAGCGTTATTAAAACTACATAAACAGCCAGTATTAGATGAGAGCATCCCCAGCACAGTCAACTGCAATATCAGAGATTAGTTTTGCCCGGATTTTCTGTGCTGCCAGTGCAAAAAGAGACACCTTTTGCGTAACCATAGGGTTAGTGTCAGCCAAGAGATAGAAAATCTTTTCGGACACAGTGTTGGTCTGAAGGAGGTGAAGAATAAACCCCAGGATTTTGGTTCTTGGATCAGAATACAAATTTAAATTAAAAAGTGGGGAAACAGTTGCTAACTATACATGAAAAAGGAGAAGGTGGGGTGTTCTGGAATTAACAATAGGGATGAAGATTGGGTTAAGGGACAGGGATTAAGCGATAGGGATTTTTAAAAAAGTAGATAGCCTGGAAGGGTGAGTAATGCGAGAATTTTATCTGACGGATAGGAGGGGCGGATGCAGGGGCCTCTGTCCTTCATTACTCTCTGGATGGGTGCAAGGAATCTTTTCCTAGCAACCTCCTCAAGGAGGAGGGGGTCATGGGTTCCAGAGGAGGGGTTGTTTTGGGGTAGGGATCTGGGTCCTGCAGCGGTATGGGTTAATATAATGGGATAACCTGCGAAAGAAAGTTGGGAAGGTAAACAACTGACCTATGAGGGAAGAAATTAAATTATTGTCGCTCAATATAAATGGCCTATCTTCTCCGGTTAAAAAATATAAACTGTTTAGAATGTTAACTGAACAGCATGTTGATATATGCTTAATCCAGGAGACTCACAAGAAAAAAAGATAAGGAAAAAATGGTTAAACTTAAAGAATTGGGGTTTACAATATGAATCAAGAGGATCAAATAAATCCAGAGGAGTAGCAATCATAATAAAGAATGCTAACAGTTTTGAATTAGAGAAAATGATATCAGATAAGGAATGGATAAGGGGAAAACTAAACAATAGTGATATCTCTATTGCAAGTGTATATGCTCCAAACACAAAACAAATAAGTTTCATAAATAAAACATTTGCCAAAATTGAAAAACATGCAAAGGGCGATGAAGTCATTGGGGGAGATTTAAACACGGAGTTATACATGAATAGAAGAAGCTTAGGGGTTAGTCCCCCAAGGTTAGAATGTAATGTCAATTTTAAACAATGGAATCTAATCGAGGCCCATAACAGAATAGGTGAAGAGGGTATGGCACCAACTTTCTACTTACACAGACACTCCAAATTCACAACTATAGATTACTTCATAGTTGGAATTAATAACTCTAGAGAAGTTAACGAGATAAAAGTTGGGAAACAATGGCCAGGAGATCATGCTCCAATTTTGCTTAAATTGGGTGAATCTGTGAGGAGACTCGCAAAGAAATGGAGGTTTAACCCAAAGGTAACTTTCAAAGAGAAAGACAAACAAGACATTACAAAACAGATAAAATTTTTTTTTCTAATAAACAGACAACCAGAATTAAAAGAAGCGTTAATATGGGATGCTTTTAAAGCTACTATTAAGGGTACATCATCACTAAAGAAACTGGGATTAATAAGAAAGAAAAATCTACTCTTGAAAAAACTAGAGGAGAAGTAGAGAACTTCCTCCAACAATTTCAAAATCACCCAACAGCTGAAAATAAGACAAGATGGATAGAGAAAAAACAATATTTGGAGAACTTAGAAAAAATTGACGCCACCAAAAAACACCTGTGGATCAAAAATGATTACCAAATCAACTCCATCAATAACTAAAAAAGCTTGTCCAGATTCCTAAAAAAAAAAGGCTAGAAACAGAATACTAAAATTAAAAGATTACAAGGGTCAATTAAAATCAACAGATAATGAAATTAGAGAAATTATGGCAAGTTTTTATGAGAAACTTTACGATGATAAAGATACAATAGAACATGAAGTATATTTACAGACAAACATAGACTATCTCTCACAAATAGAATTAAATAATACAATATCAAATTCAGAAATTGAAAATGTAATAGACAGTCTAAAAGTGAACTCAGCCCCCAGATCAGATGGCCTTACCACAAATTTTTACAAAATTTTTAAAGGGGAAGTTACAATTTTAAAACCAAATAAAGACAAGACAGATCCTAATGCATATAGACCTATCTCCCTCCGTAATGTGGACTATAAGATTTTTACAAAAATCTTAGCAAACAGAAAAAGGGAAAAAATCCCAAAAATAATCCATGAAGATCAATATGGATTTATTAAAAATAGGAAAACAGCAGACCCTATCAGGATCATTCTAAACACTCTAAATCATGCCACAGTTAATAGATCCAAACTGCTTATAGTAAAGCTTGACTTTCATAAAGCATTCGACTCAATAAACCACAAATACCTGAATAAAATATGTGAGGCAAGTGGAATGAGGGGGAAGTTATGCAAAGTAATAAAAGAGATACACAGCGGAAATAAGTCAGTCATAAATGTAAATGGGTTTGATTCAAGATAAATTAATATAAAGAGTGGAACTAAACAAGGATGCCCACTCTCCCCACTGAACCTTTAGCAAATTTAATTAGACAGGACCAAACCATCAAAGGATACAAGGCGGGCAAAGAAGAAATAAAAATAAACCTTTATGCGGATGACGCCATAATAATTTTAAGCGAGGTGAAAGAGTCGCTAAGTTCACTGGTCAAAATAATAAAGGAATTTGGGGAAATCTCAGGGCTTGCAATTAACTTAGATAAAACAGAAATTCTCCATAAGAATCCAACATCGAATGAACTAAAAATCGCCCATAATATTATAGGAGTGAAACTGGGAAAGAAGTCATTAAAATACTTAGGAAAAATCTAAACAACATTATCCAATCAAACTTCAACCACTTATGGAAATCTACAAGTAAATTACTTAAAACCTGGGGGAAGAATTTTCAGGACATCACTTCTAGACTTAAAATT